GGAAATACTGGAATTAAAACTGGAAATGAATTAGGCAATTATGAACACAGAAGGCAAAGTATACGACACAAAGTCTACCAGGACTACACTACAATGAAATTATTAGAAAAAACAAAAATAAGTTAGGAATATAAGTTGGAGGTTTATGACATAAACTGTGTTATATTGATGGTTGAAAATAAACAAGATCTGCAGCAACTACTAGAAGCTAACATTAGAAAGTGCAAAACAGACTTAACTTCAGTATTAAGAAAAGAGAAACAATGTGTATGTCATTCAAAACAGATAAGATGTTTGAGCTTAAATATTCAGAAAACAGAAACTGGGGGGGGGGGGGGGGTGGGGGGGGGGGGGGGGGGGGGGGGGGGGGGGGGGGGGGGGGGGGGGGGGGGGGGGGGGGGGGGGGGGGGGGGGGGGGGGGGGGGGGGGGGGGGGGGGGGGGGGGGGGGGGGGGGGGGGGGGGGGGGGGGGGGGGGGGGGGGGGGGGGGGGGGGGGGGGATACAGTTTTTTTGTTCTCGATATTTAAATCCTGGGTGGAAAAAAAAATATCATAATGCAATTGATGTAACTGGGAATTACAGGAGTCTGTCCTTTAGGGACCATGTGGAGAGTGTTTTGATAAGATGCCAAAAAGGACTTAGTGCACTTAAAACTATGGCTGCAATTGACATAGAGCAGAGAATGCCTTTCACACTATATCAGCACCTGATTCTGTAAGTGGTTGATTATGGCCTGGGACTGCTTACCGTCTCAAAGAGTCAGATGGACAAACTAGAGCGCATACAGAACGCAGTTATGCGGGTCATTCTGGCTTGCACCAGAGATACCCCACTGGTGTGTATGCGATACACACTTGGTTTGCCGACTGTTGCAGGTAGGCACAAGGTGCTGCAGGCGAAGTCATATCTCAGGGTAGCTGCAGACACAGACCAACCTTTACACCAAGCTCTAGGTGCAGTTAAGGATCAGCAACTGAAAAGAGGGAAATAATGGATGGCTCAGGCAGAAGACACAATCAGACAGCTTTGCGAGGAGAGGAGTGTGTCAAAGTTAATGGTCGATGTTTGGTGCAGGAGAGCCTAGCATATGATACCTCAACATTCTCAAGCTTTCCGCTGGTTAGAGAACATGACACACACACAAACATTGTGATTGTAACTGACTCAGAAAGCATGCTGAGGAAGATCAGGACAGGCATGCAGAATGGCATGCCTGGCTGCAGAGGACATGGGATGAGGAGTATTATCTGGTGTGTTGGGAAATGAACAAGCAGACAGACTGGCTAGCTCTGCACAACTTGGTGGAATACTGATGCATGATAAGGCAGGCGTGGTTAGTGCCTTGTGGGAGAGCATGTACAGTTCAGAGGAGCAGATGGATCACCACAGTCTGGTGAGATTGATGCAGGGGTGAGTGACGAGAGGTTCCGGCAGATGCTCAAGGCTCAGAGGAAAGGCAAGACGGACATTTAATCAGAATGCTACTGCCACTATTAGTATTGGAACTCTTCGCTGGCTGCTGAAGATAGGGAGAGCGCTTATGGGAATGCCCCGAGTGCTGTGATGTTGGTTCTTGAATCAAATCATTGCAATAGAAGGAAAGGTGCTTAATGAAGTTAATAAACTATCAAAGGTTTGGCGCAATCATAACATCAGTTAAAAGATTTGTGTCAAACATCAGCAGAAAAAAGGCAAGCAAAGGTTGCTTTTCAGAAGGTGAAACGGTTATCTAATATGTGATTTTAACTGAATCTCAGATAGGGAGCACTCAAATGTTACATCAAATCTTTCTGTTGAATGGCATCCATCTTTTGGAATGTAAATGAGCAAAGAGATTGGAGGCAGCAGATATTTACTTTCTGATATGAATGTTGCTTAAACCTGGGGCTACAACTGTAACTAACTCCTGAAAGAAGTTAACAAAAGTAAATTATACACAACTGTAATTTTAAAAAAAAGCCATCACACTGTGGTATACCAGGGAATGAAACCGCACATAAACATGCTAAGAAAAAGGGCAGAATGTGAACAGGAAGAGAATGCAGTAAAATACTTTGAGAAGAGAAGGACAAATCCAGTCTGTCAGAAGTGAACAGAGTCTGGCCAGAGATGACTACCACTTACTTGACCGGCATGGGCAGCTCATTATTCTACACCTCAGGACAGGACATAACAAACATATGAACAGGCTTCGTCTTAGTAGTTCACCACTGTGCCTATGTGGGCTGTATGTGGAGACTACAGAACATGTCCTGCAAGAATGTCCCTTGTACAGCCCACAAAGAAATGAATACTGGCTCACTGACTCAACACTACATTCAAAGTTGTTTGGAACTTCTTCTTCTTTCCTTCGCCTGAAATATTATCTATATCTGCAATGTTGTCTCTAGTACAAACTGCACTGTTATGTCATAATTAAGCATGGAACACGAATAGGACTTTTCTAAATTTAGAGAAAACTGAAAAATAATATGATGTTACAGATTTTAGAACTGTCATTAATGACTTTGCAAAGAAATTACCCATAAGAGGTACAAAAGCAGCTCCTGCACTAATGAACATGAGATAAGTTACATTTCAATTAAAACAAATGTTATATTAATGTGACATAATTACCATTAAAATTTTGAGACAGTATAAGATGATGAAAAACTATTTTGATGTGATTTCAGGATTACCAGTAGTGTTCAAAAATGGAAAATACTTGTACCCAGTTTAACACAAACAGTAATACAACTGTTTATATGTTGTTTAAAGTTATCACAGAAAATATTTTGCATCCTATGTAAGTTTTCTGAAATTCAACAGAAAAAGAAATGACCAGCTGAATGCATAAACTGCTTACAGTCAATCATTATGTCCAACAAAATAATATTTTTCTTTCCATTTAATAGATTATTCTTTAATTCAGATCCTGAATGCTCAAATGACTTGTAATAACTTATGTTCAAAGAAATACCTGTAATTTTTTTTTCTCCCTTTAAATATATGAATTACTCTGCCAAATCCTAAATGTATATTGCCTTTTTATTCGGCTCTCCTTGCAATAACGGTCGCTAGTTGGACGGCGACAGCCGCTTAGTCGGAGTTCAGTCCCCTGGCTGCAGTGCAATTACGGAGTGAAAAAGAGGGATTGACACAAATGACATACTTGGGCTAGGGGTAGGGTTAGGGTTTGGGTTAGGGTTAGGCTAATGTGAGTCACAGCGCGTGGTCTAGACGCCATGTTGAAGTCACTGTGTTTTGTGATTCGTGCCTTGCCCACTCCATAATTGCACTGCAGCCAGGGGACTGAACTGCGACTAAGCGGCCGCTGCTGTTCAAGTAGCGACCGTTATTGCAAGGAGAACCTTTTATTCTAGTACATTGAGGAGAACTTTTATAAACAGCATACTGTCCTGAAAGATGAGGTATTTTGGTCATTTTAAACATCATGGTTAGCCTCATTAATATTTGCAAAAGCCTGTACACACGTAGTAAAAGCTGCATAAGATCGAAGGCAGGATTGTCAAGAACTTTTATAGTGAACTCTGGTGTGCGTCAGGGCAGTGTACTATCGCTGCTTCTTTTTATAACATGCATGGATACCGTATGTAAGGAAACAAACTTAAATCATGAAGAAGATATTACAGAATTAATATTTGCCGACGACCAGGTACTCGTATCAAAAAGTATGGAATGCCTACAGAACCACCTAAATCAAATTAGTAACAAAGGGAAGGAATATAATATGGGGAAAAAACAGAGACAATGGTGAAAGGAAGACAGAAAGACAATTTAGAAATAAAATTTAAAAACAACACCTTAAGACGAACAGAGGATTTTAAGTATCTGGGAGCAATTTTCACATATTGGAAAACTGGACAGAGAAATTAGCTCGAGATGTGCCAAAGCTAATCATGCAATGGGGCAACTATCTCCCCTGTTGACACACAAGCATATACCCTGGAGTTCTAAAGTGAATCTTATCAGAATTATTTTTTGGCTAACACTATGCTATCAGTGCCAAACGTGGACACTTACATCCTCTAATGAACGTAAAATTGAGACAACAGAGATGAAATGCCTTAGAAGAGATGCAGGAGTTTCAAGGAAAGACAGAATATGAAATCACAAAATCAGAAGAATGCCAGGAAAAAAGCCAGTCTTACAGGTCATCAAAGAACAACAAATAAAGTGGTTTGGGCACCTAACAGAAATGCCCTGGTACCAACTGCCAAAACGAGCCACACTAAAACGTTACAACGGGTATGGAGCGAGTGGAAGACCTTGGAAAAAAATAAAGTGATGGCATTAAGAACAGCTTTTCAGAAATGAACATCAGTCTTATTAGTGCTCGTGACAGAGCTCATCAACGAATGTTACATCTCCCCCCGACACTTCGGTGAGGTACAAGGTGGAAGAGAAGTAGTTAGCCTTGGAAAAAACAACCGGTAATGGAGAGTAGTTCTCAGAAAATGAAGCAGAGGCAACCTCCGCAAAGGTGGATATACAACACTAAAGATGTAAAGGTTAAGAAAGCACACAGGGCTTGAGAACTAGCTAAAGACAGAGAAACCTTTAGGCATGACATGAACACAGCAACATTCTGTAAATAACCTGCTGATTTATGATGAAAATTGCTAATAATTAAAGAAATATTAACTCTCTCAGTTAATATATTATTTTTGCCACAGCCTGGTTGTTCAAACACTTTCTAAGACTAATATCTAAAGAAAACAATAATTTTATTTGTTACTTGTTAATAACTATTCATCTATCAGCTACTAGAGATAATTCTGTCACATTTGTAGGTGCTATCCATAGAGTAATGGATCACAAAATGCTCTTCCCCAACGATGCTTAATAGCCAAAGTTTAAACTGATAATGATTCTGTATGTAAACTGGAGGCTGAAGACTATTCTGCAGTAATTTATTAACACAATTTCTTCCGTCAATCTTCAATCAAATGTGTCAAAACGAAGTACATCATCTGGAAACAATGTTTTGTAAATTCTGCTTACAAACAAGTCAACAAAGGTCCTTTATATTTGATGGTATCACACCAATAAAATGATGGCTGGGGAATTTCTTTTAACCAAGTGGTGCCACCAATGCTTGTCTTTCCTGGATTCAGATCTTTGTAATAGTGACAGCCAGAATCACAGTCACCCTCATAGGGGGGTGCTAGAACATCAAGAAACGCTGCAAATTTAGTCTCTGGTTGGATTTCATGGAAATTTCCCACACTCGGTGATAATACGCAACATTCATCTGTCTCTGATAAAACAATATCATTATGTCTGTAGACAGTTTTAATAATACAACTGTTACTGCGTTTCTGACTCTGCGATACTTGAAGACGAGCTATATTTTCAGGTAATGGTTTCTGGTCAACTTCGGTGTACGATGATATTCTTACTTTACCATATAACACCTTTAACAGTCCATGCATTTTCGGATGATCATGTAACGGCAAAACACTTCCAGCCTTCACAACAAAAACAGCCATTGTAAAATTGTGGTCTTGATGTATATGCATGTAAGTTACTGGGGCAACTTCGCCTAATTTTTGTAGTTCAGCGTCTCTTTCTTCGATTTCTTTAGGATCAAAGTATACATCTTCTGATGAAATGTTATTCATAGCACGTATGAGAGGTGATAAGTGATCTTTAGTTATTTTTTCCGGCGACAACACACCAAATATTTTTGTTGACAGCTGTGCGAGTTTAAGTATGGGAGCTGCCATTTTCAGCTATCAGTGATAAATTACTTTGTACTGCTATAGCTACACACAACACTCCTCATCTCCATACCCACTGAAGCTATTAATAGCTTCGATTTTGATTTATTCAAATACTCTGACTAATAGCTCGAGTCGGACGTGTCCATACTATTAGGTGTCCTTTCCCATTACCCTTGCTGTGTGGCGTTGGTCATTGTGTATGGTCTCTGAATTATATCTTTGTAGACTATCAATCATTTATGATACATATTTTTCCCCATACCATGATTGCAACACTATAAAGGCGTCTGTTTTGTAGTGTTCTCAACATTACAAGATGGTTAGAGCTGATGTCCCAAGTATCAGGATAGATGATAGAAAAGTCGAGAGAGAGAGAGAGAGAGAGAGAGAGAGAGAGAGAGAGAGAGAGAGAGAGAGAGAGAGAACTAAATTATCTGGGAATCAGGGTTGACAGGGGCCTGACCTTAAAGAACTACGTGGAGACGTTTATGACAATATATCAAAAGGGACCCAATGCACTTAAGACTATTCCTTCAATGGGCATATAGCAGAGAATGCTTTTCACACTATATCAACCCTTTGTCATCTCATTGATTGTTATGTACTAGGACTTCTCCCTGTTTCAAAGCGTCAATTTATTAAACTAGAGCGCAAACAGTAATGCGGGTCATTTTCAGATGTACCAGAGACACCCCAGTAGTGTGCATGCTATACAGCCTTGGTTTGTCGACTGTTGCAGGTAGGCTCAAGTTGCGGAGAAACGTCAGCTCATCCTGACTGAGCTGACCGTGCCGTATGAGTCGCGAATGGACGAAAGTCATATGTATAAGCTCGAGAAATACAATGACTTAGCAGCTGGTCTGAAGAGAGACGAAGCGTACACAGTAAGAGTCTTCGTCGTCGAGGTAGGTGCAAGAGGTCTCGTTTCCACTTCACTTTACAATGTGATTAAACAACTAGGCTAACGAGGTAATGAACGCAGACCGACACTTAAACAACTAGGCGAGGTTGCTGAGAGGACCTCGAGATGGCTCTGAACTCAACAGAACGTCGTGGGGGACGGGCCTCGGTGAGCTAATGTGGGTGTCTAGTGGAAAAGAATGTATTATCCCTTAAAGTCCATCTTGTTCGAATTGTTTGCCAGTGTCCCTCTGCCACCTGCCAACAAAGTCCAACATGTGTCCGGTAAACCAATCGTAAGCTTGCCACTCGGTCGTTCAGGTATGCAGACTGCTTTAATTATGCTACCGCAACGACTTCTTATCTCACAGTACCTTTTGCAAATCACCAATTCGTCTTGTCCGTGTCCGAATAACATCCGGTAATACATGCAGCAGGAGAAACCAACCCTGAGCTTTATGAACTCAGGTGGGCCCACTCTCTGAAAATGCCTAGGAGCTCGTGGGCAGAAACATTTGTCGACGAGAGGTTACTTCTACTGATGATTGGTAGACTCCTGCTTTACATGCTCCCCTGTGGAGTTTCTTCTTATTCTTATTGCTGCAGGCAAAATCATACCTCAGAGTAGATGCAGACACAGATCACTCTTTGCACGAAGCGCTGCGAGCAGTTAATGGTCTGCGGCTGATGAGAGAGAAGTCATGGATGGCTCAGGCGGAGGACGTGATCAGACAGGTTTGCATCCTGGAGAACATTAGGGGAGGAGAAGAGTGGGTTAAAGTGCCAGAGGAACGGTTAGACTTGTGTAGAGTCGTAATTTTAATGATCCAGAGGTGCAGGGAATGACCAAAAGGTACCACAGAGGTGGAAATTCAACAATAAATTCAGGATAATGGTCGCTAGGGTTATGTGATTATTTTTACAGATGGTTCAGTGTCAAGAGGCAAAAAAGGTGCTTTTTTTTCAAAAGCTAAAAAGCCTAACATATGATACCGCAACACCCAGCTTAAGAACAAAGGTCAAGGCAGTCACTGCAACTTCCCGCTGGCTAGAGAAGACACACAGGGCCGTCTTATCCCACGAGCCCGTTGGGCACTTGCCCGGTGCCCCACAAGCATAGGAAACTCCATGTTAATCTGTGTATGTGTTTAATTTAAACAATCACTGTCTCCCCAACAAGCATCGACTAACTGGGGGCTTCCTTTGAAGTCGGAGAGCATCTGCCTGAGAAGCAAGGAACCAACAATCTGCATACAAATAAGACAGACATGTAAAACAGATGTGTACGCAAAACTCAGGCTCTGAAACAAAATCAAAGTCCAGAGATGAACAATCAGAATTTTTCGCTAGAGTTTACAGCCGGTGAATACGAAGAAGAAGAAGATTATCGACCATATATATATATATCACAATTGTAACCGACAAGCATGCTTCGTGCAGTGGCATGCTTCGTTCGAAGGTCATGGGTGAAGAGCATCGTCTGGATATTTTCTCTGGGTATGCCAGTTTGTTAGAAAATGAAAAGACGGACAGATGGTCTTGCTCTGCACAACCTGGTTGAATAGTGGGTGCTTTCTTAATATCCTACCCCAAACAATGGAAAACCGCAGGTCACGGGACAGTCTAATATTTCAGGGGGTGGTAGATAGGCTACATGCAGTCGTGGGACCTAAGCTGCACTCTCTCGTGGGTCATAGGTGGGTTGGAGTTAGGGCTAGTTCTAGTTTTGGGGTATTTAAAAGCATCAAAAAGCCGGGAAACCAAGGTTTACCATCCTCTAAAAGGTTGGACTTTCCTCTGACGTCATCTGGGGTAGGATATTACGAAAAAACTGAATATTGTATGAAAAGGCAAGCGTGGTTAAGGTCTTATGGGAGTAGGTGTACATTCTGGAACAGCAAACTGTTCATCGTGATGCAGCGGGGAGTGATGAGGGGATCTGGCCGATACTGGACACATAATCAGACTGCTACTCGTACCATAGGTATTGGAACTCTGCGCTGGCTGCTGAAGGTGGAAACTGAGCGATTATGGAAATGACCCGAGTACTGTGATGTCTTTTCTTGAAGAAACTCAATACTCTAATTTTTTTAAAGTCAGTATAATACACTTCCTTGTAGACATACATTACTATTTCGTTTAAAAACATCTAGTTCATTGTAAATAAACGTATTTATTAATTTCAGCCAATGGTGTCAAACATGAAAGTTGTTGTTATTGTTGTCGATCCAGCGGCGCATGAGCTTTCGCCCTTTGGCCCAGTGCCATGTAGTGGAATTTGCATGTTTTCACAAGCTGTTCTTTTCCTCCGTACAAGGTGTTTCACTTGTCTGGTCTCGGAGGGAGTAGCATTCTTCTTGTCTCACTGGGTTTGGGGCACTCAAAGAGATGGTGTTCAACAGTTTCGTAAGGGTAGTTACATAGCTGGCACTCTGGGGAGTGTTGTGGCTGTATTCTGTTTAGGTGTCCATTGAGTGGAGTATGTTGCGTTCTAAGTCTGAAGATGGTGGCCTGGTCTCTTCTTGTTAGATGGTTAATGCTGTCATTAGGATCAGGGCCAGACATATGTCTATAAACTTCTCTTCCAGTGTCTCCCATGGCCCATCTGTTCAACCAAGTCTCTTTGTTTATAGCTCTTATCAGTGTTTTTGCTGTCTGGAGGGTTGTCGCTGTAGGTGGTTGTTCTTGTGTTGCTTCTTTCTTTGCCAATCTGTCAGCTCTGTCATTACCTGGTGTGCCGGAGTGACCTGGAATCCACTGCATCACTATTCTGATGTATGAGGTAATAAGCTGATCAGTATCCAGGATTATCTTGGCTATGTCAGTTCTGCAGCGTTCACTGCCCTCCAGAGCTTGAAGGGCAGACATTGAATCTGTGAAGATGACAATATTTTGGACCTTTGAGGGGTAAACATCCATTACAGTATTTAGGTGGTATACTGCTGTTTCCAGTGCAATTATTTCAGCTTCATAATTTGAACAGAATTCCCCGTATGCATCAAAAATCTCTTCAACAGATCCATCGGGATAACCTTTGTAGATTCCGTAACCTGCTTTAATGGTAGCTTTAAATGCTGATCCATCAGTATAGACATGTATCCATTCTTGGAGGTAAGAATCAACGGTCTTTAGTGATGAGTTCATAAGAGCGATTGGGTCTGACTGTTTGGTTTCCTCGCCTACCAATTTAATTCGGACTTCTGGAGCTTTAAAGCGAGCATGTGGTGGTAGGTTTCTTGCAACATTCTGAATTCCTTGACGTCTTTCTGGGAGGTGGTATCTGTCCTGAATTTCATTAACACAGTGTAAAACCGATTTGTGCTTTATTCTTTGTTTGTATTCCCAGTTTTCTACAAGATGTCTATTAGGATGGTTACGATTTTTCCTAACGCATCTTTCATAAATTTCTAAAGTGGCTTTTTCTCTCCGCAGCCCGAGGGGTTCCACATTTGTATGGATTTCACAGGCAGCAGTTGGTGTAGACTGCATAGCTTCGCAGATTAATTGGAGGGCATTATTTTGTACTCTGTCAAGAGTCTCTAGGTTAGTTTTGGAGCAAGTTGTAAGCAGTGAGTTGTTGTACTCTATCACAGAGCGAACATATCCTAGATATAAGCCCCTCAGTGTTTCCTTGTCTGATCCCCATGATGTACCTGCAAGTCTCTTTAATAACTGTAACCGCCTCAATGCCTTATTCCTGACGTTTTCAATATGGTTCTTGAGGCTGAGCTGCCGGTCAAGTGTGACTCCATAATGTGGGATGCTCTTCTTTCATCCCTTGGTGTTTGTCTAATTTTAATATTCTTCCTTGCTACTTGGTGGCTTTTGGTAAAGATTGTGTAGACCGTCTTTGCACAGTTAACCTTGAGTTTCCATCTTTGGCAGTACTCATGCAGTCTTCTAAGGACTCCATTCAGTCTTTGGGCTCCACTTTCTACATTTTCATGACTATGCCATATTGCTAGGTCAAACATGAAAGAGATTGAAGACCAGTTGTAGAACACGAGTATATTACGTCTTCAGCCCGAAGTTGGACACAAGACATTAAAGACAACCTGAACATTGAAATATACGAGACAGGTTAGTTGCGTATCCTTTACAGGACGTCGCAGAACCAACCCCAACAGCCACTGGCTGTTGTGTGGTTTTTCTAGGCAAATTTACGTCCAGTAGTTTGCCATTGTTTCTGGACGGTCGGCTTTCTTGATACCACTGTTGAAACCAACGCAAGGCGCATGGCCCGCAGTTGAGATCAAACCCGGCATCCCGGCATTACGAAGCGTTCGCATCGACTTAGCCACAGAGACACGAGACAGACACACTGCAAAAAGATGGTATTTTAGCTTTCTGTGTGCTGTCTTGATTAGCTGATAAATACAAGACATCGCCTTTTGTTATTATTATGTATTTTATGTTGAGAAAGACTCAGGCCGAAAGGTTGATTTGTCTATTTGGTGCACATTGCCCCCCTCCCCCTTTTGTTAAGTTTTGTATTCACATTCTTAGTTAGTTAGTTAGCTAGTTTGTTAATCGACATATTATCCTCACTGCGCATCGAACAAGTACACATGCGTTACGATCCCATCTTCAGTATATCCCTCAGCGTGTGGCGACTGATAAAACTCTTGATATTAGTTTGACTGCATTCACCCCTGTTTCCACCCTAAATCTTGGCCTGCTGTTATCCGTGTATCTGTCTTTCGCCGAGTCCCTTTACTTTATTTTCTTGTGCTGTTTGTTAGCTAATAATGTGCACGATCGGTGGGAAAGGGGGTGAGCGCTTGTGGTGGGGGTTTGTTTGTGTGTGCATGTATATGATGTAATCACAATTTTTATTTCGCTGTAATGAGTGTCATTTGTTAAGGATCTGGTTCAGGATGATGCGCCTTGTAAACACCGCAATTTCCGTTTAAAGTAACTAGTAGTCCATAAACTTAAGTCGAGTAAACGTTTGTAGTACTGTCTGTTGTCGTTACCAGCTTGTGAACTAATTAATAATACTGTTTGACAACCGTCCAGAGCAAGAAAACGAAAATACTAAGTGCGAGTCGAGCAGAAAGGTTGTTTGGATATAGTAAAAACTAAATTTTTACATAGATCCACCATGGCGACAGCCCAGAAACGGGTAAGCTTTTGTTTTTAGTAAATTTTTTACAGTCAATATAAAGAAATCCTAGGCTCTCCTCACTCCTCCCAACTTCTATCCGATATAAAATATTATGATGGCGGTCAAGCAAATAGCCTAACAGGGCCTCAGTCGTGTATAAAATGCGGACTTTCTGCTAAGGAACAAATCGCGGCAAAACTAGGATTACTTGACAGTTTCAAGAGACGCAACACTGCAGACGATAGTAGTTACTTTAGTCAAATTTTCAAAATTCCCTCTACACCAATAAAACTAAAACCAGCACATTTAGATAGCTGTAAACAATCTCTTTCCAATGGTATCTCATTTAGGCTTGTATGTCATTTCTGAGCTGAGATATGTATGTTTTTGTGGAGATGAGATGTACAAAACAGGTGTCGAAAACTTGCGTCCCAGAAACAAGAAGTTTTCTCTGCGCAACCAAACTGCGCACTTATCGTTTTGGCTTTGTTTTCATTTGACAAGATGGCAGACAATAAGACACAGCCACATAATAGCGATTGCCTGAAAAATGTCACTGTAAATCTAAAAAGCCACTGATAAAGAAATTTTATAAACAAATGTAAAATTGGACGGAGAATTCAATTATAACTAGCATTACCAGTACGAGTAATGTTAAAGCCTAAAGCCAACTTTGAATTCATACTTACCGCTATTTTCACAGCCATGATATAGCGGAATAATAGTGATTGCCTGAAAATGTCACTGTAAATCTAAAAAGCCACTGATAAGAAAGAAATTTTATATACAAATGTAAAATTGGACGGAAAATTCAATTATAACTAGCATTACCAGTACGAGTAATGTTAAAGCCTAAAGCCAACGTTGGATACTTATCGCTATTTTCAATCAAACTGATGTAACAGAAAAACAGAGGACGTCTGGCTGTCGTAGACATGCGCTGTTAATCGGGCTCGTTCCCGTCGTTTTCAGCTATTTATAGCTAGTGAAAATCACACCAATCGCAAAATTTCATGAGAGATTAGGACCCATCCTGAAACCCCAGCCGACATTTCCTAAACAAGTTTTGAGCGGTTTCCACGGTAACGGACATTGCCAAAAGATCGCAAATTTCCGAACACCGTAGTTGCTAATAGTACCAGAATATAATAGTCGACCGTTGGCAATTTCAAGCATTTCTGCAGACGATAATAGCGACCATTGACAATTTCTAGACAAGCAACATTATAGACTATAATAGCCATAGGCGGGGAGACCATGTGCTCCAAAGCAGATTAGCGTCATTGTTGTCCTCACACTTTTCGGCATGCGCAAAACGCGGCTAAACTCACCGCCGACAGTATCCCCTGTGCCAATACGCGCGGCGCAGATGAGGATCTAAATTAGATGCTTGGGACTCACAAGCAAATAAATTAAAATAAGTTGCTTGTGAGTCCCAGCCATCTAGTTTACCCCCATCCCCCCCATCCCTGCCGCGTGTAGCGGCGCAGGGGATACTGTTGTCGGTGCGACATAGTCGCAGAAACAGGTCCACAATTAACATACCGATGAGACCCTGTTAGAGCATTTGTTTCGTTATTCAAAGCCGATCCTAGTTTTGCCGCGATTTGTTCCTTGGCAAAAAGTCCGCATTTTACACATGACTGAGGCCCTGTTAGGCTATTTGCTTGGCCGCTATAATATCGGGTAGAAGTTCGGAGGAGAGCCCAATCCTAGTTACTCAGTCAGTCAGGCATTGACCGATCAATGATTCACTTCTGTCTCAATCATGGGAATGCTGGTCGCTGATGATACAACACATATTTAGAAAACATTTACAGTCAAACTATATTTTTGGTTATAATGTTCTTGCACTAGAACCCACACGACCAAAAAAAAAACGAAGAGATGTTAAATAATTTAATGAAAAACACAGAAGAAAAGACTTGAATGAGTAGTAGGACATGGAGTGAGCTTATAATGATATCATTTATTTTAACTTGAATGCCACTTGTGTATCTCTGCCTCTTGTCATTTTTCCCAGTATGGTTTTCTTCTTCTTCTGCGTTCATCCAAAGATGTAATTGCGTTGTGTCCGTTTACAGCATGGCTGCGATATTTGCACCTTTTGGCCAACACATTCGACTTTTGCGGGCATTTGTTGACCAGGTTAGCCTTCCCGGTGTATGGTTTTTATAAAGGAGTACTTTTAATGTGGCCTAAATATATCACTTGTCCCCACTAACTTTCAGTGACTCTTTTTGCTTTGTCTTGCAGGAACTTCTCAATATTGAAATGTTTTTGTTTCCCTGAAACACATGGTCACTAATAGCCACTTCTTGTTTTTATCATCCACGTCTCCAGACTGACTTTTTAAATTCATATGGATTGTCCTGGCTTCTGCACCATACTATAGAGTTGAATTTACATAACCTTTTACAGTTCTAATTTCTAAGTTGTTTATCTCCCAGAGATATCAACAATATTCTCTAGTTCTCTGTGTTCTAATTTTTAATTCTCCATCTGCAATTTTAAGGTGACTGCAGAATGTAAGCAAAGCACTTGTTTCTGCAATTTAGGAAATTAAATCAAATGAGCTGACTAAAAAGCTTAATAAAAAGATGAAAGGGAACAGCGTACGCAAAACAGAACCTGTTTTATACTTATTGTTCCCCTTCCATTAACCTTTTTAGTCACAGTTCATTGAATTACTTTCTTGGTACTAGCTTTACTGCAGTGAACCATGTTGTCACAGCTTTTTAGATTCTACAATTTAGGCCACATTTAGCTTAATTTAATATACTAATCGGCACATGATTTATGATGTGGTCAGGCATAGCTGTGATGTGATCATTATCATGCTAGACATTTGCTAGTACCAGTGTTTAGGCCTTGTTGACATGGGAGCTGAAATCAGTTTAAATTCTGTCTTTGTAGGGATTTAAACACAGGAGTAGCAGGCAGGTAGACCAACTAGAGTTAATGCATAACATATTGCAATGTGGGCTTAATTTTGTTGTTGCTGGTTGCATTGAATCTTGTGTAAATCATTTTTAATGCAAGTGATTATCATGAACGAATAGAAGAGGTACACCATACATCCAAGATATATGCCCCAAGAGGAGAGGGACGTAGAGCACAAGGTAGATCAAGAACATGACAGAAAGGTAAAATCAGATAAATTCCACTACAGTACAATGTGTCTGTAGTGAAGGCAGGCAAAAAAGCTAGAAGCAGAACCTTATATCTCCCTAAGTACTCATAGTGCTAAAATAAGAAGTGGAGAACAACATCACTGGTAGCAAACTGACTTTCTGCCCAAGATGTCCAGAATTTAGCCACTCTAAAAATACTATATTGATCTTGTATATTAAAACCGTGTATGAATATATTTAATATTCTTTGTGTTCACCCTTCCATGAGTCTTGTTTTGAGGTTTACAGCTGTTGTTTTATCTGTGTCTTTGACTTCCCAACAAATTTGATTTCAGAAACCCCTAATTCGTCGCCTTTTATGAAATGCTCATTAAGAGGTAGTGGATACCCACATTGGGATGGCAGACATATATAGGGTCTCCTTGACTTAAAGCAAAGTTCTGTTCCAGCTAACAGGTCATAAGTCGAACCGGTCACATGTTGAATTTATAATTTTCAACACTATTTTTAATAAAATGGGTTATAATAAATATACATACAACAGAAAGTCAACTTTGTAGGTATAATTATTGTAGGCAAAAAATAACACTATAGTGACAGTGGCTGTGGTCACCTGACCAGTATGGTCACTGCCAAGAAAGAAAGCAATGGCAAAAAACCTTGTTTGAGATGCCAAAAATAGTCATGTTTTCCCAACTTACTAATCTTGAGGTATACAGCGTTAATGGGTGCTCCATAGGAACGGCCTCACCAAATAGGGAGAGTAATGTACGCTGGGTGACTGCAAACCTTCATCAGGCAACTGTGTGCAAAACTTCACAAATATTGTAAAAATAGGAACATGGAATGTTAGGACTATGCTCACAGGGAAGAAATTTAACAACATTAAGCAAGAAATGACATTGAATGTGAATTTCCTAGGACTTTGTGAGTCAAGATGGAAAGGGACAAGAGTAATATTATTATTTGAAAATTTAAGTTCTTTCTGTGGGAGCAGAGTTGCCATCATTTGGAATTTGGAAAGATCAAAATCCATTAAAGGATACATGGCAGTGTCAGATACAGTATTACTTGTAGAATTAAGTAGCAGACCTTTGACTTTATAACATCATTCAACTATGCTCTAAGAGCTAAAAGTAGTGAAGAAGGCAGTGATATGTTTCTTTTTACACATTTATGAGTGTAAATATTTTTGAACAAATTTCTTTCAGGAATTACCACAGGGTCTGGAGGGGACGGGGGGGGGGGGGGGGGGCATTATTAGAAGGGCATGGTTAAATTGTAGCACATACTGTGGATTGACATTTCCTTACATTGAGACTTTGACACTTCCTAACATTGAGACTTTGACACTTCCTAACACTGAGACTTTGACACTTTTTCAGACAAAGAAAAAGGACAACCAGAGTGACTCTTCTGAAGAAGAGGACTACACTCCTTACATACCAGTTAAGCAGAGGAAGAAAATAGAGGTGAGCCAGTATGTACATGAGTGTGTAACTCATTTTGTGTGGTGTGGCTTGGATGTATGTTGTCCATTTCAGACACACTTGCTACAGATCCTTGTTGTAGAGTAATTTTTTGTTTTTAATGAAACTTAGTAACTTAATGAAATAATGCTGTACCACACATCGGCAAATCCCCTGAATTCTATGTAATGAATCAGATGCCTAGCCTTTAGGAGGACAAGGCAACAGATAACAGAGACCTTGTGTTTAGGAACTGAAAATACTTCATCTGTTTACAGTTGTAAAGAGTAGATCAAAATAGCTGCTAAAGATGTTAAACATTTTGAGGAGGTGTGGTTTCTTAGGTCAGTACAGCGATTATCTTAGACCAGTCTTTCCTATTCTGATGGTCCACTAGGTCTGTGGAAGAAATTCTAGGGATCCATATCATTTACCAAGTGAAACTGACGGCTTTAGAATGCAATCCTTTTTTAAGATTTTAACGTGTATAAATTATAATAAATTCTTCCGTATGACCTTTATAAGTGTGAGGTTTGCTGGTCTTGGCTTATTGGGAACCACTGGCTTAGACAACCAGAGTAACTAGCTGTTCTGCAACAAGACTAGAGTCCAGAAGTAGACAAACAAATTCTCCCAGTGTGGGTTTCTGGACCCCATTTTGGGGGAAACAAAAATAGACCCACTGCCTCCTTATCAAGCGTGTTGTAAGAGTCAACTAAGCATAGAAGAAAAGTCGGAGCGCCTCTGCCTGAGAGGCGAGGAACCAACTGTCTGTATACAAATAAGCCAGATGCATAAAATGGATGTGCATGCGGGACTCAGGTTCTGGAACAAGACTAAAGTCGAACTAGAACTTTCCACCAGTTTGCAGCCGGTGAAAGCAAAGAAGAAGATGAACAAATAGAACTTCTTACTAGAGTTTGAATGTGAAGAAGAATACTAGCAGTTGAAAAAAACAAAAGTTAATAAAATTATAACTTGATACACTGTTACAAGAAAGAGACGAACAGTGTTCTGTGCTTATCTGATAAGAAAAGGGGCTCTGGAAAATATCTATAACAGCTTTAAAAAAAAATATGAGCTACGAGAAACAGGTAGACCAAGACGAATAATGCTGGACGGTTTAAAGTTGTGACATGGTGGGATGTAATTAATAGATTAAAGGATTGGTCAATTATTTGTCTTCATGTCATGGAATGCCTTGTTTAAGACATCTTCCATCCCCTTTTACTAAGGTACACAAATACTTGAACATATTGACTTCTCTGGTGAATATTGGTTCACTACAAGGTCATACAATTGTTGAAGTGGCAGAATCTGAAACTACACACTATTTTTTTTCTGAGGTTTTTCCAAGTTTTGATTGGATCCCCCCCTCCCCCCCCCCCCTTTTCCCCCCAAAGATGATATTTGGCTGTGATTTCATTAGAGACAATTTTATTTTTTATTGTTTTATTTCTAGATTGTCAATTTGAAAAAGAAGCTTGGAATCTCTGGGGGAGCCAAAGAGGAAGAGCTCATGAAAGCAGACAGCAGTGGGAATGAGGGTGATCGAGACGATCTCAAGCGATGGATTTTAGATGGCAGTGATTCTGACTCTGGTGAAGTAAAGAAGGATGGAATCTCAGAGCAGGACCTCGGACCTCTTGCCAATGTCAGCTTGCTGGATCAGCATAATGTTCTCAAAAAGAAAGCCGAAGGTAAGACATTCTTGCATGAGACATTTCATTATCATTAGTGCATCTTTTTTGTTAACTTAATTTTTAGTCATTTAGCTCACTGGTTATTGCTTTTAAAACGTTTAAAAAAAAAATAATAAAGCTCCTTAAATATAAGGAATAAATATATTGTACATAAGACCTATTCAATTCTTATGTTGAGTGGTAAACAATTTCTTTTTATGAGTTTGTTGTTTTGTTGAATACCTGGATTGGCCAGACCAACTGATGTCTTCCTTATTTTCTATATGAATGATTTCAACTATCACACTAAATAAGTGATTTCCTCATTGTCTGTATGTATCTCTAAACTTTCCCAGTTTCTGTGTTGACCTGTTGACTAGCTGCAACGAGCCAGTACTTTCATCAGTTTCTCTATTTTCCTCTGCCTTTACAATACACAGACAAACAAAACCTACCTCAGTTTATCTGTTAATCCTTTGACTAACTTCAGCAAACAAATTAATGTTTATATCACTTGTATTCCAACAGCCAAAAAAGAGACAGATACAGAGAAAATGCTGAAGGAAGAAGAGAAAATTTTGGAAAGAGTAGCCAGAGAGACAGGTAAGTTTTATGCAGTTGAAAAAATTTGTTGCTTATCCTTTACAGGACGTTGCAAAACCAACCCCAGCGTTTTTTGGCTGTTGTGGTTTTCTAGGCAAATTTATGTCCAGTAGTTTGCTATTGCTTTCTGTTCAGTCAGCTTCTAGATAACACTGTCGAAACCTGAGCAAGGCCTGTAGCTAGGGATCGAACCCGGCATTACAAAGCTTGTTTGCAATAGTCAATGCCATTTTTGTTGTTTTCTTTAATTGCTACATTGTGGTTCTGATATGATGTACTGATCCTTTTGCTGGCTGCCAATATTGAGGATCTCTTGTTTTTGGTTATTAACCCTTTCGCTGCTACGTTCCCGGAAATAGCTGTCTGCCCTGTGCTAAGCAATGTAAAAAAAAAAGTCTCTGCTGTGCGCAATACTTTTCTATCCTCCAAACGCAAGAGATGCGTCGGCGGTGAGGGCTTTATTTTGTACACCCAAAAGATTTTACCCTGGGGAGTTGTGTGGTTGGTCCGAGTGGTGACAAGTCAGAGGCACGATGGTGGCCCACAAACTTGACTAACTGGGGGGGGGGGGGGGGGGGGGGTGGGTGGATTAATGGGAGGAATGTTCCCTGTCCGTATCCCAAAATTTGATTGACGAACCTACCACAGCTGCCACTTTAATCATAGTTATTTGAGGTCACCATGTTATTAAATACCAAAATAATAAAAAATTTAATAATAATACTTGAGTCGTCCGTTGATGAAAAGTAGCAGGAACTGAAAGGAAAATTTACAATAATAATACGCCTTCGGGGGTTGAACACACGACCCTCTGATTCTAAGGCGAACGTGATACCAACTACACTATACTACCGATTGACGTATTTTGCTGTGTGAATGATAATAATGACTGATGTACGCAGACTATCAATAACGTGCATAAGCTTGTAGTCTGTCGCCGCCTGCATGAGCACTGTTGTCTGAGAAATGTTTGAGATTCTCAACAATAGTAAAAATATGTCCGCCGACATTATTTCACGGGAGTTTTTAGCAAACAGTCTTTGCTCAAGTACTCTATTTTGAGTTTCTTTGTTCTAAGCATTAGCAGACAGACAGCCAAAAAAAAAAAAAAATCGTCCGAATCTGTTTCTGTCCATCGGGAAAGACGAGAATTTTTAGTGACTGAACTGTTTGAATTTACAGTAGCTGAAATACAGCCAGAGCTGGAGTCATCACAATTATACACTACTGGTTTCAAATCATCGGTTCATAAAGACAACTGATCAATTTATTGCCGTTTTGATGGCGCTTCATTGTCGCTGCTCTCTGATTCCGACAATGAGGACGTCGGACAGGCAAACAGCTTTTTTTTTGGACACGACGGTTTCAGCAGTCGATATTGATGGCCTAGTCAAATCTTTTTGTTCACTGTCAGAAGTAAACATTTCAAAGTCATCATTGCTATCACTTCTTGACAGAAACTCCATAAATTTTTCATCAACTTTAACAAGTTTTCTTGCCATTTTGTACTAAGTGTAGAATAATACAAAAGCACAAATATATATCAGGGCACAAAATCCACAGATCACCGACCACGCTGTCACGGTAAACAAAGCAACGGGATAACGCAGAATGCAGTAAACACACCTTAAACACACCTAAAAGTACGTGCCAGTGCTTTTAATCATATGTAAATGGGTCAGTTTAATCTAAATATAGTTAATGTATATTGCCCTTCAGCCAATAAAATACGAGGTAACAGAAATCTGTAAGAAAAGTCCAAAAACGGCTTAGGACGTCCATAGCACTGGGGGTCAAGAAAAAAAATAACGTCCAAAGACGGGCGTATCAGCGTACGGGAAATCGGGAAAAGACGTCCATAGCAGCGAAAGGGTTAAATCAAATGAAATAGTTTCCCCACTTAGAGAGAGAGTGTCTTGTGATGCTGTACCATACAGGGCATGCATTAAAAGAGGAAAGTTATGTAGAGCATGAGGTAGACCAAGAACACTGGAAAGATAGCATAAGAAAAACTTTACAACAGTACTGTGTCACTGTGTTTGAGGTGGTCAGATAAACAAGAAGCAGAACATCATGTCTCCCTCACACAGCTGAAGCAGGGAAATGAAGAAGGAAAGTAAAGGACCATTTTCATGCCTTTGGCATATTGAGCAGACAGTGCTTCACCTATATTTAGATAGGTCAGTCGGCATTCATTCAGTGTCAGCAGCATATCAGCTGCCTTTACTTCCCAGGACTTATCTGGTACCTTTCTAAGGCTGCTTCAAATTTGAAGTAAATCTGCCTTTTTCATAGTTTTATAAGTAAGTGATCAACATATAGAAGTTATATTGCCTCTGATCTTGGAGTGTGGACTGGATTCCCAGTCTTCTCAGGTAAAGCAAATAATGATAGGTTTCATGTGCATGTTGCACAGTTTCCTTGTTACTTGGAATTGAAATTGAGGCCTATTCGGCCCCGGAAGCCGAGATATTTTGACCATGTTAAACGTCATTACGGCCTGGAGATAACAATTATGGGGTCCTTGAAAACACATAGGGCTGAAGAATTTGCTAGAGAAAGAGAGAATTCAGACCTTCTGTGATGAGTGCAATGTTGTGCAGAGGACCTGCTGATTGATGGTATGGCTCTGATGACAAAATTAAAAAAGATACCCATAATTCAAGGAGTCATAATAGACATTAGCTAGCATACTTCATAGTCAGCATGGTGATCATGTGGTGTTTTGAGTCTCTCTAATTTGCAAGGTTTTATTTACAACTTGAGCAATGCTCTAAGGTCAAATTCAACTGAAATGGATTCCAGAAAATATTATAAGTCTGCATGGACTCTAGGGGGGACATGGCATCCACTTTGAACCGCTTTTTTGTTCTGGCTTCAAGCTGCCTGTGAAGGCTGGGATTTTTTCGCGTGGACTTCTAGTAATTTCCCCTGCTCTCTGGGTAGGAAGATTGGCTGCCCGTTTGTATTGTTGCATACATAAAAAAAAAATAATTTGGCCATTGGAAATTGAAAAGAGTACCCTAACACCGCTGCCTGGGCAAAATTTGGAGTTTAAAAATCTATCCAAAGTATTTCAGCATCCTTGCCGGTGCTAGGGAGTTTGTGCACTGGGCTGAGATTCTTCACTGCTTCTGAGAGTCAGAAGTAGAACGGAGCACTTATGGGTTACTACTCTTGTGCCATGATGTTGATCCATTGTCTAAACCTAAACCTTCTCAGACAGTCTTTCCCATTATGTTGGCCATGGACCCAAATGGGTCTGTGAAACAAATTTACAGAATTCTGATCTCACAAATTAGAATGCAATCCTCTTTTGTGATTCTACAAAAGTTCTTCAGATATACACATGGATTGTCTGTTTTATATTTTAGATCAGATGTCTTTACATGGTTGGTTGGTTTGTAATAAACCCTGTCAAAGACTGAATTTTAACTCTTAAGCTCACCATAGTGGTGGTCATGTCACCTGGACCCCAATAAAGGCTTGCATTTATCAGAGATTAGTGTACAGACTTTCCTTATGATTTCACACCAAGACACTGTCTCCACTGGGGCTTGTAGGACTGTCCTAAGTCACACCAAGACACGGTCTCCACTGGGGCTTGTAGAACTGTCCTAAGTCACACCAAGACACTGTCTCCACTGGGGCTTGTAGAACTGTCCTAAGTCACACCAAGACACAGTCTCCACTGGGGCTTGTAGAACTGTCCTAAGTCACACCAAGACACTGTCTCCACTGGGGCTTGTAGAACTGTCCTAAGTCACACAAAGACACTGTCTCCACTGGGGCTTGTAGGACTGTCCTAAGTCACACCAAGACACTGTCTCCACTGGGGCTTGTAGAGATGTCCTAAGTCACACCAAGACACTGTCTCCACTGGGGCTTGTAGAACTGTCCTAAGTCACACCAAGACACAGTCTCCACTGGGGCTTGTAAAACTGTCCTAAGTCACACCAAGACACTGTCTCCACTGGGGCTTGTAGAACTGTCCTAAGTCACACAAAGACACTGTCTCCACTGGGGCTTGTAGAACTGTCCTAAGTCACACAAAGACACTGTCTCCACTGGGGCTTGTAGAACTGTCCTAAGTCACACAAAGACACTGTCTCCACTGGGGCTTGTAGAACTGTCCTAAGTCACACCAAGACACTGTCTCCACTGGGGCTTGTAGAACTGTCCTAACTTTCTCGAAGCCTTATAATGTTATATGTACAAGACAAGTACTGAATCTTCACATCTGCTGATATACATAGTAGGATGTAACCAGGTTATGATGCCAAACAGCACAGGAACTGATTAGGATTGTGCCTAGATTGATTATATTTCCTCCACAAGATTTAGAAGTGTCATTGTCATGAGAAGGCAGCCAGATCAATGCTTATGAGACTTTTTATGGCAGAACAACTGGGAGAAGACAAAGAAGGAGGTGAATAAATGGTATAGCAGAAACCTGCACAAATATAAATCAATCCATCACTTAAGCTACCCAAGAAGCGCAAGATAAAACCAGGAAACTGGGTTACAACCTGGTATCGGTGAAACAACAAAAGAAAAAGATTATCATGACATATATCAATGCATTTAACATTATTTGTGAATGTGTATTCAGTTACCAACAGTAGACAGCTAAACTTTTAGAAGGGCAACACATAAGGATTTGCATAGCTAGGCAGTGTCCTTCATTGTTGTTTCCCGTATAATTTCTGGTCCTTCTGATGCTTATTTACATCCTATAGAGCAGTGGTTCTCAACCTTCCTAATGCAGCGACCCTTTAATACAGTTCCCTTGTGGTGACCCCCAAACAATTATTTTCCTTCACAACTTCAGTGAATATGTGTTTTCCTCACCTATAATCTTAGACGACCCCTGTGTGTGGGTCTTTTTACCACACAAAAAAGGGGTCATGACTGGCAGGATGAGAACCGCTGCTATAGAGCCATTTAGGCTCTAGCAGGTATGATAAATTTATATGTGTCTGTTAATTATGTTAGTAATGACTGAATTTTCTAGAGCATAGACTGATTTTCTTGTTGATGATCAAGATTTAGTTTCTTTCTTAAGGTTTAGCATGATTTGTATGAAAATCCTGAAATGTGTATTTTCATTGGGTTTTTTCCTCTCCCTCCATTCAGCTCTCAAGGGTGTGGCTGAGTTGGCCAAAGGCATTGAGTACACAGATCCAATTAAAACAGGGTAAGTTTCTCTGGCTTTACTCTCGTTGTTAATCCTTTGCTGACCAACTTCGACGATCGACGAATTCTCCGGCCATATCCCCTGGTGACCAACTTCGACGATCGTCGAATTAGCAACTTGTAGTCTGCTGACCGACGTCCCTACTGATAGTTTTTTAATTAAGCTGCATCCGGGTATTCTAATTGTTCCAAGATGGCCGTCCTTTTGATTCATATCGATTAGAGTCATTTCAAGCGATTTTTTCAGTGAAATTTGGTTAATTTTTGTGTCAAGTGCGTATACAGCCTTTTCATCATGTCTGATGATGAAACCCAGACCTGTAACAGAGACGATTCTGACACTGCAAGTGATTGTGGTGCTGAAAGCGATGATTCCTGGCTTAGTAGAGATGCACTAGTGGACGATATCGCAACTGAAAGTAGCAACAGCGATGATGGACTTGATGAGGCAGGTGATGTAGGCACTTCTGTTGATAGAAGTGGGCGTGGCACAAGAGACCAGAATATATCTACAGCTGAAAATGTAGTTTGGAAATGGAGAAAGGCTGCTGAAAATGAATTTGTTGAGATTGACAATCTTCCTCCATACCAAGAACAACAAGGTGTTATGTCAGACACGACTGGATTTTTGCTGATTAAATTTTTCAAAATTTTTTTCCCTGATACTGCCATAGATTTGTTGATCACACGTGAAGTCAACAGGTATGGTGAAAATCACCTGTCTCAGTACACTGGAAGTGCCAAGTACAAAAAATTCACTTGGGATAACATTGATGTAGTTGAAATTTCTGCATTTATAGACCTTCACATTGGTATGGGAATGTGCTGTAAACCAGCAGTTTCAGACTACTGGTCTAAGAATTTTTGGCTGAATGAAACAGCATATTCCAGGGCCAAGAGTCAAAACAGATACCAGCTGCTTCACAGAAATCTGCATTTCAACAATAATGATGTCAGAAATGAAAGAGGACAGCCTGGGTATGATCCCTTGTTCAAACTCAGGCCCCTACTAGACATCATATTGCCTACATACAGGGAAAACTACACACCTGGATGTGAGTTATCCATAGATGAATCAATGGTGCGGTTCAAAGGCAGAATATATTTTAAGCAGTATCTGCCAGCAAAGCCTACCAAGTGGGGATTTAAGTTATTTGTGCTAACCGATGCTAAAACTCAGTATTGTTTAAAACTAGAGATTTATACTGGTAAGGCAAATAATGAAGGTTGTGTCGGGACGACTTCCACATATAAAGAATATAAAGGTCATATTCTGTACTGTGACAGTTTTTATTCAAGCCCAGCTTGATTTCAAGAGCTAAAAGAAATACAGATTGGTGCATGTGGCACAGTGTCTGAAAGAAGGAAGCATTTTCCTGAGATGTTAAAGAAAAAGCAGCTAAAACTGAAAAAGGCAGATAATCCTGTGTTTTGTGTAACAGAATATAAAAGCATGTTGGCCATTACCTGGCACGATACCAAGAGAGTTAACCTAATTTCTACTGTTCACTCCAATGATGTCATGGATAACTCAGTTAGAAAAAGGGGAGCTCCTGAGGGCAGAATTATCAACAAGCCTATTCTGGCTGAAAAATACAACAAAAGTATGGGTAGTGTCGATCACTTCGGCCAACTTGCTGCAAACTACCCATACCCACACAGATCCTATAAATGGTACCTGCCATTGTATCATTTTTTAGTGGAAACTGCTCTTGTCAATGGGCATATAAGCTGCAACACTGTCAACTCTACAAATAAGATAACAGCAAAGAAGTTCAGGCAGGATGTCAGTCTTGCTCTTATCGGACCTGCTGTTCTTCTGCACAACGTAATACCTTCAAGACCACAAGTCACAACATCACGACTTACCGAACGCCATTTTATTGAAAAATATGAAAAGCCAAAGTACAAACCAGACTGTAAAGTGTGTAAGGCTGCAGGTAAAAGGAGCCAGACTTGCATGTACTGCCCAGATTGCAATACACCTCTATGCTTGACACCCTGTTTCAAGCTATACCATACAGTTGAGGATTATCAACGTTCCCGACAAAGACTCTTGCAGAGTTCTACAGCTTCAACTTCAGTGAATGAATGAAGTAGCTCAGACTTTAGCTAGAGGTTAGAGGAGTTTTTGTAATCAAACATTCACAAATCCTCATTGTAACATGCCACATAAACACAATACACTCAAGAAAGTAAACATACAATTTTTTTTAGTTTATTCAATTTGTGTTTCATTTTAATGTTGAAATATTTGGTTAATCATTAAAAAAGTACTCAAACAAAGCTTATTTTATTCATTGCCAACCATGTCCCCAACATTTTATTGCATTGAAGTTGAACAAATTCACTTAAAACTTGGAAAAGATGATGGTTTTCAAACATCTCCTGAAATTTCTATAAATAGCCAAATAAATCCAAGATGGCCACCATGATCATGTGACATATTTGCATAACATATTTGTTTTCATGTGTAGTAACCATTCCTAATGGGCCTCCGAAAGTTTCAATACCCTAAGCCTTAAAAATTTTTTTTAATGAATTTAATTAGAAAAGCAGTCATTTTTACAAAAATCTTCAAACACCCTTGGCAATGGGAGACAGTAATCCTCCAGATTGTTGGTCAGCAAAGTGTTAAACTTTAAACCTGACTTTTGTGAACTACTCTGAGTAACATTATAAACAATTATAAATTAGTGCCAGGATGTTAGTTAAATTAAGTAGGAGTACTTTACCACAGGTCACAACTGTGACCAAGATCTTGTAATACGGGAGTCCTGAAAAGAACAAACATTTTTGCACGTGTCACACATACACACAAATTATTTTTAATTGATTTGTGGACACTCCCCCAATACCATGCAGGATCAGTATAAATAGATGCAGCATAATATTTAATGGCTTACACCTCTTTGAACCTTTATAAAATTATTGCCTGACATTTTCTTAACCTCATGATCCGGTCACCTGATAGCCCTATGACTAGTGGAGAAAATGCGATTTAAGAATTTTTAAAAATAATACAATTTTTTTTCCCCACGAGTACACATTTCTAAATGCTATTTTTAGTAAATGCAACCATTCCTGGTTCTGTTAACTTTACGCTGGTGCAAACGGTATCAGCTTTGTTAGGCTTCTCATAAACAGGCCCCTATAGCAAGCCGGGTCCTTGCAGTTGGAATGTCAAACGTATGCTTGTTCCTAGAACTGGTTCTTTTTGGGTCCAGCAAGTCTGCTTGTTCATTGCCTGGCATCCTGCATGTTTTGGGTAATGAGGATAGTTGTGTGTCTTTTACTGGATGTTGCAAACTAACTCCAGCACTTATTAGCTGTTTGTGGGTTTACTAGGCAGTTTTACATTTATTGGTTTGCTATTGCTTCTGAATGATTTAGCACAGGTACTGTAGTCAGCTAGTCAAATTAATGCAAAGTGATCTGCTTTCAGATCTCTTGCAGCTCAGTCAAACACTGGTATGTGAGAATTTTTAAACTGTGTCCATAACCTTCAAGACACATCTGCTGGCCTGGACATTTGATAGGTTTCAGCCAATGACTAAAATAAATGAGGTTTTACAGCTGATGTCATTGTTGATGTAGCACAGCACTCTTCTTTGTGTACGTTGATGTCACACCCAGCTTCATCTTTAGTTTTGCTGTAGGAGGAGTCAGTTACAAGATCATAGATGAGGAGAAAGATGGTCGTGTCGATAGTGGTGTTGATGATAGGGTCTTGCTAGCTTTGTGCTTCTCATGTCACTGATGATTGACCTAGGATCTCTCTTCTGCATAAAGAGAGTATGTCTGCAGTAAATATTCTGTTCTCTATGTTACCTGTCTACATGGACAAAGTTCTAAGTCCCCTGCGTGGTACTAAAGAGTACAAATGTATTTTCTTCACCATGATGTCTGCAGTACAAATTCTGTTCTCTATGTTACCTGGCTACATGGACAAAGTTCTAAGTCCCCTGCGTGGTACTTAAGAGTACAAATGTATTTTCTTCAGCATGATATCTGCAGTACAAATTCTGTTCTCTATGTTACCTGTCTACATGGACAAAGTTCTAAGTCCCCTGCTTGGTACTAAAGAGTGACAATTAATTTTCTCCACCATAATGTACTAGTGTAATTTTTCTTTCCCCAGCTGGAGAGCTCCCAAATTCATTCAGGAACAGTCTCCTGCTAAATGGGAGAAAATACGCAAGAAGCACCACATTCTTGTAGAGGGAGAAGACTTGCCACCACCAATTAGAACATTCCGATCAATGAAGTTTCCTCAGCCCATCCTCGATGTGTTAACGAAGAAAGGAATTTTGGAACCCACGCCTATACAAATACAAGGGATCCCTACAGTGTATGTATATGTGTTTATAATAGTTGGTTGTTGGAGTGTGGACACAAATTAATCTTGAGTGTGGGGCCTTAAGTCTAGATTAAGTGCAGTAATAATAATAATAATAATTATTATTATTATCATGGGCTGAAAGGCAAATAAATATAATAATAAATTTGAAACAATATAAAATGCATGAACAAATCCTCTATACATGGTTGGGAGTGTTCCAACCTCAAATTTCTGGGGTGGATTTTCAGGGCGTCCAGTTCCTATAAAATATAAAAAAAATTCATGGGAATGGGGAGTGCTCAGCCCCTCCGTACAAATATTTATTGGAGGAGGTGGGGGTGGTGGCTAGGGTGCTGAGTCTCCAGGTTCTGCTACCCCCACCTCACCCCAGGTTAGTTGGTTTTGAATCCTCACCAAATACAGTTTGAACTCTAAGGCTAATGCACTGGGGTTCAGGTCAAATAAGATTTGCTTGGCTGGCCAGTTTTGGCCCACAGGCCATAGTATGATAGTTTGCCCACCCCTAGTTTAAATGTTTATTTCTTTTTCTTCACCTTCACTTTTACTGCTTTGGATGTTGAGGGAGATATACTGTATTAAATCTTGTTCTGATCACCTCGACCATGGATAAAATGTACTGTTGTAGAGTTTCTCTGATGTATCTTCTCTGATGTATCTTTCCATCTTGTTCTTGGTCTGCTTTTGCTCCTCTTCTCTTTTGATGTATGCCTTTTTCAGTAAGGCATTGAAATCTGTTCTCTGTAAGTAGGCAGACCATTTTATTTCCTTCTTTGAACAAGATCCGACACTTAAGAAATCAGACTAATTCCATAAAAATTAAAATAATCAATAGTTGAAGATATAACCTGTATTTTATTCAAAGCAAGCCCCTTGTGCATTGATACAGTGTGTAGCACGATCTTACAAACACTGGAACGACCTCTAGTTCTGTTTCTACGGCCCTTAAAGTCGATGTTACAGCCCTTTTGATGTCATCAATATCGTCAGAGAATCGTCCTTTTAATGGTAACTTTAATTTTGGGAATAGAAAATAATCACAGGGAGACAAATCTGGGGAAGAGGGTGGATGGTTGAGAACACACACTTGTTTTGGGACCACAAATTCCTGTTTTGATGATGTCTCGTGGATACTCAACCCGCTGATGTTTTTGGTCATCGGATAACGAATGCGGTACAGACCTGCAAGCAATTTTTTCTTGCCAAAATCTTGCACTAAAATTTTAGGAAGGGTCACTCTATCAACATCAGATTCATCTGCCATCATTGTGACAGTAAAACAATATCTTCTTTTATCCATTCTGTGACTTTTGCAATGAGTTCATACTTACAAACAGAAATTGGGTGTTCAGGCCTAGTTGCATTAGTAATCATTTCTACACCACTTTTGAATCATGAATACCACCTGAAAATATGTACACCAGATAAAGTATTATCCCCATATACTTTTCGCATCAATTCAACTGTCTCACCGGCCCTTTTTCTGAGTTTTAAACAGAATTTAATGTTAGCTTTTTGCTCTATGCTAGTTTCGTAACAATGCATCTCTAACTAGGTCAGTAAAATGGCAGCTTGTTTGTCGTCTGCTTATCAGGCGGCGATGCAAAGTTGCCCGATCATAGATTAAGGTTGCCTCTTTGGATTCCATGCATTGCTTCATATGTGGGACTTTCGTCTTGGCTGTAATAAAATCAGTCTTATTACTTAATTGTCGGACCTTTAAGTAGTTAATATTGGTTCTCTGCCAACTTTTTCTCTTTATGACTTCATTACTACTTTTCTTATCTGGTTATGTTTATTTATACCTTTTTTGTTGCCATAAATTTGTGCAGGCTGAGCGGCCGAGACATGATAGGAATTGCCTTTACTGGATCAGGAAAGACTCTGGTGTTCACACTTCCAATTGTCATGTTCTGTTTGGAACAAGAAAAGAAACTGCCATTTATGAAGAGAGAAGGACCATATGGACTCATCATTTGTCCATCTGTAAGTGTGCTGTTGGTTGTTCTGTCATTGGTTATACATTATAATTGTCCTCAATACATGGCAAGATATTAGGCACATGCTGGGGAGAAGCAAACAGAGAATCACCCAGCAGGCACTTACATGGAAAACAATTGGATTTAGGTAACAGGAACGTTTTAAAAAAGCTCGAAATAAACGTTTATGAGAGAGGTCAAAGGTGCTAGACTGGCTTCGGTCAATTATATCAAAACAGCTGCACAGGATAGAACTAAAAGGCAGAATAAATTGCAGGCCCTCTGAGATGTAAAACAGCACAACAGGGTGATGATGATGAAGCTCAGTGTTTAACTTACGAGTAAAAGTAAGAAGTAAAGGAGCATGTTCCACATATTCAGGCGTAATGGGCATTTAGGGCTAGCCCTGTATTTTAGACCAATTAGCACTGGGTGTGTGGTGTGGTCAGCATCACGCTGGCTGTCTTTGCTTCCCAGGACTGTCTCCGGTACCCACTCAAGGTTGGGTGGACCAAAGAGCTAATGTAATTATTAAAGAAAAAACTCTGGCTTTATCAGGACCCGAACACACAACCTGATCTGCAGACGAGCGTCTAGCTGCTGCACAGTGGCGGCTTAATTTATGAGAGGGCTGCAAATCAAAATGTTAAAAGTGTGATAGAAATTACAATAACATGCAATGGTTTATAACCTGTCAGTATTGCTTATTAAGGATGTCAAGAGTGTTAAGCACAGGACATGGCAGTTTACATGTCACTTTAATGACAGTGTAAAGATGGCTGCGCCAGTTTTGACAATCACCAAAGAGTAAACTGCATTCTGTTATCCATTTTTTAAATCAGTGATGGGGTAAAATCGATATAAATTTATTGACAAATGAAGGTCCAGATGCATGCCTGTTAGCCCAGCAAATGTATGAGTAGAGTGGGAAGTTTCAAAACAACGTGACTTCTGTTGCGGACTGTTCACGTCTGGATCAGGCACACAGAGTAGTGACCCTAGAGTTGATTGTAGCCATTGAAGACCTTGTACTGGAAATCCACTGATTGACTGTGACATTGCCTCACATCTTGACATTACTTAAGGTTCAGCACACCACAGCGTCCATAATGAGCTCAGTACTGCAAGGTGGGTGCCATTGCAGTTTATTACATAATCGAAACAATGCACATTGATGCATGTAACCTTTGCAGTGCTTTGAAGCAGAATGTGATGGTTTCCTGTTAAGTATTGTTACTGGAGATGAAACCTGGGTTCACTACCATGAGCTGGAAATAAAGAGAGCAAACAAGGAAGGGTGCCAACCCCTCCCCCCCTCCCACCCCCACCACCCCCTTCACCGAAACCAAAGAAATTTCACACACAGCCATCTGCAAGGAAGATTATACTGACACTCTTTTGGGATGAACAAGGCGTTATTTGAAAGCACTTGCTTGCCAAGAGAGAAAACTATCACCAGTGATACATATGTAGATCCTCTCAGTAACCATCTTTGACCCCCAGTCAGATCCAAACGATGTGGACTTCTAAGTAAAGGGGTCCTTTTACAGCATAACAGACTTTGACATAACAGACAAATTTTTAGTGTCTTTGGTTTCATGAATGTTAATGTATGAGAGAAATGTTTATATATTATGTTTCAAATTTGGTCTGCTTTTTTTTACCTTTTTTTAGCGTGAGTTGGCAAAACAGACTTTTGACATAATTAAACTATTTGGTGACAGCATGGCTAACGCCGGTTTTCCCACTTTACGTCCTGTTTTGTGTATTGGAGGCATGCCTGTCAAGGAACAGATGGACGTCATCAACAGGTGAGGTGGAACTGAGAATATCAAGCTGATAAATTATAAATGTTTCTTGTGTGTTACTGTAGCCTAATGAGTGGCTGGCCAGGTCATAAGAGCTATGGACTGTTGGGCAGCAGACCCGAGTTTGATCCTCGGTAAAGTATATGGATTTTATTTTTCAGGATTTTTAAGCGGGCAAACCATTTTGTTTGCTGTCTTTGCATGTGAATTTGAATTATTTCTCTGCAACTTTTTCTCTTATTACTACATTCCTCATTTGATCTCTTCTGGTCACTCCTGCACCTTTCTCAGAAATATCGTTTCCATGATCACTGATTTTCTTTTCTGGTTATGTTTTCTCTTCTTCACTGGCTGTAAACTCTGCTGAAACATTTTGCTTGTTCATCTATTTCTGCACTTTAGGTGTTGCTCCAAAATTTAAGTTTTCGCATGCACATCCATTTTACAGATCTTGCTTAGGTGTATGCAGATTGTTGGTTTCTCACCACTCAGGCAGATGTACTCTGACTTAAAAGGAAAAACACTTAATTAGTCGACTTTTATGACATTCTTGTTAGGGAGGCAGCTGAAAACGATAACAGTCTTAACCTGCACAGTCTAGAGCGACTGAACTAGCTATGCGACCTTTATTAAATCCTCATACTCATGACCTCATGTTATACCTTCCAGAAATGGTAAAGACGCACAGTTGATATGGCCCATAATGGAAACAAATAATTGGTGACGTGGCAGTCTGTCATGCATGTGTGAGAGGCAACTAATGATGGGTTGATATGTGACTGGCCGCCTCATCCCATAGAAAACTTCAGCTGCAAACTCTAATCATTCATGAGCAGGTTTACTTCTTCTTCTTTATTCACTCTTAAAGGTATGGTAATAGTTTACAGCTAGGCTGTGATATCCATGGCTTTCAGCCTAATACATCTGATTTCAGCAAATCCTTAATTAGTTGCCTTCTACAACATGCTTGTTAAGTAACAGTGGGTTTACCCCCCTCCTCCTTGTCAACCCTTCCCCAAATGTGATTTCTAAGGCTTTCATCCCAATACATCTGATTTCAGCAAATTGTAACCATTGCTTATGTCTACACAACTGGGTAGTGGAAGGTTGGATGAGAGCTGATTGAGGATGGTGATGATTCCTCTGCTGCGAAATGGCAGCCCTAAATGCAACTGGAAGTGGCAGAAAAACTATTAAACATTAGCTGTACCAATCCAACATTTGCAAAGGAGCGACAACTATTTTATCCCATTCAAACGCGATAGGACAGATTATTGAAATGGCAAGTTCAAACTGACTTCTGCTTTCTTTAAATTCATTTACATTGATTTCTGATGGTATGTAGGTAGAAGGAAATGATTTCTGATGGTATGTAGGCAGAAGGAAATGATTTCTGATGGTATGTCAGCAGAAGGAAAGGATTTCTGATAGTATGTAGGCAGAAGGAAATGATTTTTGATGGTATGTAAGCAGAAGGAAAGGATTTCTGATGGTATGTAGGCAGAAGGAAATGATTTCTGATGGTATGCAGGCAGAAGGAAATGATTTCTGATGGTATGCAGGCAGAAGGAAATGATTTCTGATGGTATGTAGGCAGAAGGAAATGATTTCTGGTGGTATGCAGGCAGAAGGAAATGATTTCTGATGGCATGCAGGCAGAAGGAAAGGATTTCTGAGGGTATGCAGGCAGAAGGAAATGATTTCTGATGGTATGTAGGCAGAAGGAAATGATTTCTGGTGGTATGTAGGCAGAAGGAAATGATTTCTGATGGCGTGCAGGCAGAAGGAAATGATTTCTGATGGCATGCAGGCAGAAGGAAAGGATTTCTGAGGGTATGCAGGCAGAAGGAAATGATTTCTGATGGTATGTAGGCAGAAGGAAATGATTTCTGGTGGTATGTAGGCAGAAGGAAATGATTTCTGATGGCGTGCAGGCAGAAGGAAAGGATTTCTGAGGGTATGCAGGCAGAAGGAAATGAATTCTGATGGTATGTGGGCAGAAGGAAATGATTTCTGATGGTATGTAGGCAGAAGGAAATGATTTCTGGTGGTATGTAGGCGGAAGAAAATGAAGATAAGGCCACTTTAATAAAGAAAAATACCTTCCCAGAGATAGAACCCCTGGATTTGGATGCAGCCTGTGTAGAGAAAGTGAACCTTGCTCAGATGTGTCCCAAATTTGGATGTACTGCTGTCTAAAGTGCATAATATGGAGGGATGCACTTCTCTTGTGAGAAAAGACGCAGAAGTCCTGAAGTACACGTGGTGATTAACCAGGACAAGGACTCATAGTGGGCAAGACCTGCCAGCACCAATGCTTCATCCTAGAAACAGGTTCTTAACTTCTCATCTGAGATAGGATTGACAATTCTTTCAAAGTTACTGGTACCATCAGTATTGGAACTCTGCGCTGGTTGCTGAAGATGAGGACAGAGCACCCATGGGAATTCCCCTAGTGCTGTGATGTCGATATTTGACTCAACTCAACTCATTCCTCCAAAGTTGAAGTGCATCTACCTGAGAGACAAGAAACTAATGTTATCATTGCACCCACACAAAAACCAGATCCTGAAAACTAAAGTCTTGGAACAGGATCAAAGTTCAGAAGTGGACTTTCTGCCAGAGTTTAAAACCAGCGAACACTAATAATAAGAAGAGTGCAAGACAAATAATAATAATGTTAATGCTGACAAAGAAGTTCATAAGTGAAATCAAGAAGAAAAAAAAGAAAATAAACTTTCTATTATTGTATTGCAGGCATGAACATGATATGCATTTATACATATTTGTAACTTGGCTTTTATTGATCCTATAACATGACAGAGGCACACACATAATGGTGGCCACTCCAGGGAGACTAATGGACATGCTGGACAAGAAGATGGTGACCCTTGACATCTGCAGATACTTGTGTATGGACGAGGCTGATCGTATGATCGACATGGGGTTTGAGGAGGATGTCAGGACCATATTTTCTTACTTTAAGGTATTGATGACATCTGTTTTCTTCAGTTTTGCTTGAAACTTTTTCAGTAGCTTAAAACTCACCCTACATTTATTAGGTCCTGTTTCTGCATGTGTGGTTCCGGGTGAAAAAGTATTGACCCACTGACTCCTTAAGAAGCACTTTTTAATGGGTAACTAATTAACTGTTTGCTGAAATCAGATGTAATGGGCCAAAAGGCACAGATATTACAGACTAGCTGTAAACCACAACACAGTGTGCTAACTGCCCTTTAAAGAGTGAACACAGAATATAAAGAATTAGGTTCAATTTCCATGTCTGTAGGTATATTCCACTCAATGAGCATCTTAACAGAATACAGCCACATCACTCTCCAGAGTGCCAGCTATCTAACTATCTCTAGTAAACTGTTGACCATCATCTCTTTGAGTGCCCAGAATTCAGCAAGACTAGAAAGAATGCTACTCCCTCTGAGACCAGGCAAGCGAAACACCTTGTACAGAGGAAAAGGACAGATTATGAAAACATGTAAATCCCACTACATGGCACTGGGCTAAAGGGTGAAAGCTCATGTGCCCCTGGATCGGTAACAATAACAATGTCTATAGGTGCATTTGGCTATTGGTGCCAGTCCCATATATTTATAGACCAATCAATGTTACCTTGAGTCGTTATCTTGCCAGCCTCCTCACCCTCTCGTCCTGGGAACAGTACAAAAATTAGAATTCCACAAAATAGCCATTACAATTTGTTCTCTCGAAAATATATAAAGATATATTTAGGGACTGATCAGTAAACATAAACAGGATGAAGTATTCAATGGAATACATTCTCCAGGGACTAAAAAATATATGTATTGGGTGACCACTGTTGCTGGTGCTTACAATGAAAAGTGATGTCAAATTGGCTTTAAAAAATCTATTATGGCTCAGAGAACTCCATCTCCCCCATTATTACTATTTTTAATTAATGAATTCAAATTCCAACCTCCCAGTGTGGGTTCCTGGGTCTTATTAGAGGGTCAACAAGAATAGACCCACTGCCTACCCAAAAGCATGTCGTATGAGTCAACTAATTGGGAGCTTCTTTTGAAGTCAGAGTGCATCTGCCTGAGAGGCAAGGAACCAGCAGTCTGCATACAAATGAGTCAGATCTGTAAAACAGATGCACACGTAACACTCCAGTTTTTGAACAGGACTGCAGTCCAGAAATGGATGAACAACTAGAACTTTCTGCCAAAGTTTACAGCTTGTGAACGCGAAGAAAAAGAAGAAGAATATCCCAACTTCCTAAATGTTTGCACAGTGTGAAACCAGCCAGTAACATTTACTATGCATCTCCTAACAGGTCTCTGTAAACAAGTGGGAAAAGTAACATTTGCAGGAAAGTGTACCCTAACCGGAAGTGTCTGTTTTGCAAGTCTCTGAGCATAAGGGTTAACTTCCAAGAAAGTTTCCTGATAACCATTTAGGCTTTGTTGAACTGCAAACCAGAGTTAATTTCAGAAAGTTGCCTGGTTGAAGATTCTAACCTATGACTACTTAAAGAGCAGACAAGAGTCCTAGCTACTGTACTGTAGCTGCACCATACTGACTGTCATATGCTGATTAATTCTTGTTTATGGTCTACAGTTCTGTACTTCTGTCCTGTTCTTTTCTTATACTATTACATGCTGTTTCAGTTGTCACTTTCCATTGTTATGTCCCTTAGTTGTTTTATCGGCTACAGAAAGTCATAGTGAGAAACATGGCCTTTGATTTACATAATCAAAAGACTGCATAATTAACAAATAGCAGCTGTCATATTAGTTGGTGAAACATCACACTGGCTTATTGTGCAAATGGGATTTGCTACCTAATGATAATGATGATACATAGTGAAAATAAAATGTTTTTAAAATAAATTTTAATGTTGTTTAACAACTCTGATTTAGGCTCAAAGGCAGACTTTGCTGTTTTCTGCAACTATGCCTAAAAAGATACAGAACTTTGCCCGCAGTGCCCTGGTAAAGCCAGTCACTGTGAATGTGGGACGTGCAGGTGCTGCCAGTTTGGACATAGTTCAAGAGGTTGAATATGTGAAGCAAGAAGCAAAGATGGTTTATATCCTGCAGTGTTTGAGAAAGACAGCTCCTCCTGTGAGTAACTGTGCATTTACGGGATTTAAATATTTATGTTTTAGGTTTCAGTCATCATCCTGCCATTATGTCCCCCATGAATTATAGGCAGGAACTGCTGCTCCCTGTTGGATTTTCCGGGGCTGTAGTATTCAGCTGTGCCCATGTTGTTCCAGTCAATCTCTTTGGTTTAACAAACAAATATATTATGGTACTTCTTAAAGTTCTTTTTTTTTTCTTGTAGGTTTAATTACATTTTTTTTTACCTGACTGCTTGGTTGTTTTGTTCTGAGTGAAGATCTTCTAAAGCAGTTCATCTTTAGTGATCCATGTTTCTTATTTGTCTATTCTGACATGGGCCACAATTGAAACACTACACTTGAGATCTTCACAACTGCTGTATAGTTTTTGTTGTTGATAGATCGCTTTTCTGATGCTTATTTTCTCTTTCTCTTACGGGCAAAATATTAACAATCTCTCAAGACATCCTAGAGCAGAGGTTTCCAAGCTGTGTGTCATGATACATTAGTGTGTCGACTTCATTGTGAAGGTACAGTCTGTGGCAACAGCGGTAGCCTTGCGGTCCTAATTCCTGAGGCTAATGAACCCTTTGTCTACACTGCCCTAAAACATGGTACATAGACACAGTAGTAACGGTGACTTAGTGTTCTACATAATGATAGCCAGTTCACAAAACATTCTGTATTTGTCTCTTACAACATGCAAGTTAGCTTAGTGAAAACATAATGAACACAGCATAAAATGTGATTAGGAAGCCCAACTAAGAAGAAGGAAAGGCCAAATTTAGGAAGATTTGTAAACTGATGCATGATGAAATTGCTAAATTGATGCATAATAAAAAAAATTTATTGATGCATGATGAAATTGGTAAAAGGGCCCTTTAGGAGCTAGTACACAGTGCGGAGGCGCAGATAGATCATTACGGTCTAAGGAGAATGGCGCTGCAAGGAGTTACCAGGGGATCTGGTCGACACTCAGGGGAAGGATGAGACAGATATACAATCAGACAGTTACTGGTACCATCAGAACTGGAACTCTTTGCTTGCTGCTGAAGATGGGGGACTGAGCAATTTATGGGAGTGTATCGAGTGCTGTGATGTCAATTCCTAATTCAACATTGAAATTGGGAAATATGGTACATGATAAAATTGGTAAATAGGTGCATGATAAAAGTGGTAAATTGATACATGATAAAATTGGTAAACTGATACAGGATAAAATTTGTAAATTAGTGCAATATAAAATTAGTAACTTGATGTATGATAAAATTGGTAAATTGATACATGCTGATACTGGTAAATTGGTGCATCACAGGCTAGATGTTATCAAGGCCCATTTGAAGCAAGTGAACAGTGCAGATCATCAAGGTCTTAAGAGAATGGGGCAAATAGGACTGACCAGAGGATCTAGAAAATATGAACATTTTCGGTGCAAAACTCCAAACTCTTATCTCTTGTAATGTCCATGTGCAGGTGCTGATATTTGCTGAGAAGAAGCAGGACGTGGATGCTATTCATGAGTACTTGCTGCTCAAGGGAGTCGAGGCGGTGGCTATACATGGAGGAAAAGGTATGTCTCATCACTGGTGATCATTAGTTAATCTTGCAAAAGCAGACTGGGCTTCCAGGTTGACCCAGCCTGAGAGGAGTACTAGGAAATGTTCTGAGGAATAAAGGCAGTCGGTATTATATTGATCACATTTCCCATCATCTAATTGGTTGAACAATTTGGAGTTAGAACTTACCTGTGAAAGCAAAATTGTAACTTTATAGTTTCATTCATCATCATCCTGTTATGCCATTATATATCACATAAAACTTGCAGTCGTTTCCTGCATTCTTTTCTATCCTGTGCAGTCTCTTTAATACCTTGGATGAAATCCCATCCAGCACCTTTGGCCTCTGTCCTCAGTGTTCATTTTAGGGTTTCTCTGTGATGTCTTCACTTCTTTAAACCCCTTATTTTAAATTTTAGTGCCTGTTTGATGATTCTCTGCTCGTTTCTTCTCAGGATGTGTCCAGTATAGCCCCATCTTCTTTGTCTTATAACTTTGTTACCAGTGGTTGCCTAGACATTTCTCTTAATTGTTCACCTCTCTTGAATTCAACACCCGTTTATGTTTAACCCTTTGGAGACAGAACTTTATTTGGAGATTCAGTGCCAAAAAGATGGAACAATGCAGTGGGGATTAGCTTAATTGCAACACAAATTACAAAAAATAAAATACGTAATCAAAATAATTAAACTTTATATATTCTTGTAAGAAATTGAATGAGCTCAAACAATAATTATGATTCAAAGTAAAATCTCGACATTTATTCAAATTAACTATACTAATTTGCATAATTTATGCATGTATTTTTTTTTTACTTGGGGAATAAACGTGACTAACCTGAAATATGTGGGTGCATTTTTTTTTCATTGATGAAGCATGAATAAGTACTAACACTTATGTTTTGGGAAGCAAGGCCCCTGGAGGCCCTTCAGACACCTCTGGCACACGGTTCTACTCCTTTTTCAGTTACTACACATCCAAGTATTTTTAACCTTTTTGGGTACATTGGACATACCAGCTGCTGTTGCAGCTTCTAAACTTTTTTTTAGCATCCATGTGTTCCTTAATAAGTGTTTCAGTGATAAATGTTGACTCAGTACCTATTTCTGATATTTTCCTGTTAATGTTCTTTGTAAATAATGAAGGCATTGATGAGCGTACATGACACATAATTGAATCTGACCTACTTCCAGTACTTGAAGTTCTTCTTTCATCCAGATAAAAATACAACAATACACCATCATATCTTCTTCTTCTTCTTTGCGTTCACCAGCTGTACACTCTGGCGGAAAGTTCTGGTTGTTCGTCCACTTCTGAACTGCAGCCCTGCTCCAGAACCTGCATGTGCATCAGTTTTACAGATCTGATTCACTTCAGTGCAAGCTGTTGGTTCCTTGCCTCTCAGGCAGGCACACTCCGACTTCAAAGGAAGCTCCCCAATTAGTCGACTCTTACGACATGCTTTTGTTTAGGCAGTGGGTCGATTCTTGTTTTTCCCACAATGGGGCCCCGGAACCCACACGGGGGACATCATCATATCTGTGTAATCAACCCCAGCCATATATTTATTATAGTCCAAAACAGTCAATGTTTTTTTTTTCTTCCTTGCAGTCTGTTTTGCATCTTTGCTTTGTGGTGTATGCTCCTTTGCCAAATCGGAACGTCTCCTGTATCTGCTTTCTTTATCGTCGATATTAGCAAAACATAGTTTTCTTTGTGTAGGTACAAGGATTACAATCCGTATGTCGGGTTATCCCCTAAGCCCTGTGCACCCAACAAGGCAAACGGATCGTGGCGGGACAACACCTTACTGACTGGGGGCTGCCCAGCTGAGGCGGGCGGTAGCTGTCCAATGAGACTACAATGGTCTCTCCCACCGTCGGAAACAACCCCTGGCGCCTAGCTCTACGCCAATTGAGCAAAGGCTTATAACCGGTGACTGCTGTTTCCCGTGTTGTGTCGAAACTGTTTAGCATCGCTGGAGTGACCTCTCCAGGGCACAGGCCAGGGCGTTTTGATTTGGAGTACAGACTGTTGCCCAGGCAGCAAGTACCCCCTCTCTACGTTGCCGGTGATACCAAGGGAAAGGCAAAAACCAGTACAACTTGGCACCGAGGACGTTGCAGGAATTGCCGGAATAGCACTGTATACAATGCTAAACCGCCTTAGTAGGGATTCCAGCTCGGATTTTTCCTCAGGGTTTACTCCCGGAGCTTTTTCCCAAAAATGGGTATGGCCACAAGGCAGTGGAGGTGTGTAGTCAGAGTTTACCTTCTCCTAGATGAGCTGCACTCCCGTGCTGGCGAGCCTCATCTGTCCGTGGTTTGAAATCAGAGTTTTCCTTCTCCTAGATGAGCTGCACTCCCGTACTGACGAGCCTCATCTACCCGAAGCATCTGGTTAAAGCGCCAGAGACCCGCTTTCTCTCCTTCTCCTGTTAGTTTAAACATCTCCGCCACGAGAAGGCCAGGAGTTGGACTGTTTCTGTCAGAGGCTTTGAGAGACGCATGCCATATATGTATATATATATATGTGTGTTTGTGTGTGTGTGTGTGTGTAATATATATATATATATATATATATATATATATATATATATATATATATATATATATATATATATATATATATATATATATATATATATATATATATAGCTTAGAGCGCTCCAGAATTTCTCCACTGTGATGTCCTTTGTAAGCTATCAAAAGCCTTCTTAACGTTGATAAAATTCTAAAAAATGGGTTGTTTTTCAACAAATACCTCTAAAATAAGTCTCAGGGTAATTATCTGATCTAAGCAGCTTCTTCCAGGTCAAAAACCTGCTATTTCCTCTCTCAGGATTTTGTCCACTACCCCTTTCATTCTGCTAAGATTTATTTTACACAAGGTCTTGGACATTACAAATAACAGAATAATTCCTCTCCAGTTATTACAGTCAGTAAGATTACCTTTCTTTGGAATTTTATCCAACCCTCCTCCTTTCTCATCTAGGCTTGGGACCGGTGATAGTTTCATTAGCTGAATACAAAAGCTTATACATGCATGGAGAAATCCATGACTGACTCTGTCACCGCTGATGAATAAATTACAAGTTAGCATAACTTCCACATTTACTAATTTTTGTTTTTAAATTGTTTGGAGTCACCATATGTAGCACTGGTAGCATGGATGGTGATGAACTCTTCTTAGTCACAGTGCCTTTTTTCAGTTACAATTTTTTCACCACGCCGTAACATAAGTAAAAGTATGACAATTCGTATGTAAGAGATCAAAACATATAAAACTCATGTACCTTCGAATATTTCGCTGGGCCCCTGTGAAGAGATTGCGGCTCCCGGGGCGCTGTGGCACACAGTTTGGGAATCACTGTTTTATGGGATATTTCTTAATTTGTGGATAATATACTTGAATTAAAATTTAACGATAATACTCATATAGGCCAACAATGTTTCTTTATATATACTGGATTACTAATAGTGTTTTGAAACTACATAATCCATTTATATCTTTTGTCCATAGATCAGGAAGAGCGAATTCGATCAGTGGAGCAGTTCAAGAAAGGAGAGAAAGATGTGTTGGTAGCAACAGATGTGGCCAGCAAAGGATTGGACTTTGAAGGAATCCAGCATGTGATATGTTATGATATGCCCGAGGATATTGAAAACTATGGTATGGATTATATTTTACATTATGTCTATCATTATAAAAATATATCACTGAATCTGTATTTAATAATGTATCTGAAGTGGAAGTATTGTTTCAGTCATTAGAAATATACTTATCATTATGTCGAAAAACATAGGTGCACACATGGGTACACATTTATAATGACCAGTGTATTTCTAACCACAAAATGCACATATATTCATTTGTGTGCATCACATACAAATATACATAAATGTTTTATTCAACAATTGGCATAATAAAGTACATCACAAAGGTTTCTTTTAAGAGCCGTACGAAGGGTTACAGTGAGAAAAATTGGTTTCGCAGAAGACAACAAACACGGTGTATTTACTGAGAACATTCTATAGTAAAATAAAGGACCCTTTTCCACGCCTTCAGGCATATTAGGCATATAGGGCTGGACCTATAATTATTAGACCAAATGACATTTGGTTAGTGATGTGGTCAGTATCTCACCGGCCACCTTTACTTCCCAGGACTGTACCTGGTACCCACTCCAGGTTGGGTTGGCCTGGGGGGCAAGGCCATTTTTTTTAAACGCCCGGCTCTGTCAGGACCTGAGCCCATGACCTTCCGGTCCACAGGCAAGGGTCTAGCCGCTAGACCACTGGGGCTCACGAACAATCTATAGAGGCAAGGGTCTAGCCGTTAGACCACTGGGGCTCCCGAACATTCTATAGAGGCGAGGGTCTGGCCGCTAGACCACTGGGGCTCACGAACATTCTATAGAGGCAAGGGTCTGGCCGCTAGACCACTGGGGCTCACGAACATTCTATAGAGGCAAGGGTCTAGCCGTTAGACCACTGGGGCTCACGAACATTCTATAGAGGCAAGGGTCTGGCCGCTAGACCACTGGGGCTCACGAACATTCTAGCTAAACTTTTTACAATAAAATAAGATGGCCTGAAAAAAAAACAATTCTTTTGAATCTCCAAATCATTGAGAGTTACCTTAGAATTAAGAATACACATCGACAGCAATGAAAGTTAACAAGAATAGGACTTTTTTTTTTCCATACCCCAACGATTTATGTGAGGGCGGTTGCATATTTGGGGATTAAGTGACACATGATGGACCATGAGGACATCAGTGTTCATTTTGAAGCAGAGAAGTTGCCACCTTGAATGCATCACCTTGTTTGAAAGTGGGACTCGCTGTGGTGTAGCAGCTAGACGCTAGCCTGCGGATCTGAAGATCGTGGGTTCAGTTTCTAGCAGAGCTGGACTTTAGAAAAAAAATGTCCTTGGCTTCCACATCACACCAGCTGTACATGGTAACCTAGGAAGTAAAGATGACCGTCATGATGTTGACCACGTCATCAGAACGCTAATTGGTCCATAAATTATAGGTCTAGTCCTGTTTGCCCAATAAGTCTGAAGGTTTAAAAAAGGTCATATACTCATTTACTTTACTCGTTTACAATTATTTTTAAATAGCTTTTACAAGTTTGTGGATAAATGAATTGTATGTTTCTTACAGGGCATTGCAGAACCAAACCTAGCAGTTTTTGGCTGTTTGGTTTTACTTAGTAATTTTATGATCTGTAGTTTGCTTTTGCTTCTGAGCAGTTGGCCCTCGAATCCACTGTGGAAATCAACACACTGTGGTCTGCTCTTGAATCACCTGCAGCTGGCATCAAATTATGAAGCACGCTCACAGCTCATATGTCACAGACGCTGAGCATCTAACTGTGGACAGCTAATGTAAATTTACTTTCCGATTTATGAAATAATACAGATAACCTTTGAGCATAGATTATATTGTATTGCACAGTAACATATAAATAAAACACCAGATGTAGGTAGAAGCTGTGTATTATATGTGAAGCCTGAATGCTGTTACTGACACTGCCTATTTCATTCAGTCCACAGAATAGGAAGAACAGGCAGAAAGGGACAGACGGGAGTGGCTACAACATTTGTCAATAAGTCAGTAGGTGAGTATTGTTAAGGTTGACCATTTTCATCAAGATGCTAGTTATTGCTTTTAATTCAGTTATTGGTTGATGGTACTGACTTTAAACAAATCTGAACATCACAGAAGATTGGCTAATAAACAGCATCTTTTCTTGGAAGCTTAAATATTTTTGTCATATAAAGCGCCACAATGGATTTGAAAACACAAATGGCAGAAGGCATGGTACCAGAAAGGAGGAGCGGGAGCCAACCAACACGAAGATGGGCACAGGAGCTGACAAGACTGAGTTGTTTTTTTAGGCAGACCATTCTGCAGAGGACCTGCTGTAGGATGATGATCATAAGGTTCATACCTGGCTTCTTTTCTGCCAGCACATTACGGTAGTCAGTATTGGCAACTTTTTCTAGGCACCATTTATTTTTGTAGCAGTATTGTAGAAGAAAAAAAAAACTTTGGGTGAGTACCTTTTGTTTTCTGGGAAAAGAGCACTGGGTTTATATACAATCATTCTGATAATTATTGAATTTAATAATTGTGTTTACTGTGTCGATCCTCTTGACTTTAAGTATTCATTAGTGATATGATGTCTGCCATCATGTCACATCAGGAGAGTCTCAGTTCAGTGCATACAACCTCTTTGATTTTCACATTATGATAAATTGTGATAACTGTATTCTCCTTCACGTTTACTGGCTGTAGACTCTCGGGTGGAAGTTCTGGTTTTCTAGTTGTTCTGAACTCTAGTCCTGTTCCAGAACCTGATTGTTGCATGCACATCCATTTTTAAAGATCTGACTCATTTGTATGCAGATTGTTGGTTCCTTGCCTTTCAGGTAGATGCACTTCGACTTCGAAGGAAGCCCCCAGTTAGACAACTCCTGCGACATGCTCGTTGGATAGGCAGCAGGTTTGCTCTTGTTTTCCCCCACCCACAAAGTGGTTTCCGAACCCACACAGGAAGTGATGTATTGTATTGTATTGATTGGTACTCATAGATGTAGAAGAAAGAACTAGAGACGGCAGAACACTGTAGGCAAGATAAAAATAAAAAAACTAGTTATCACTCCAGGAATTAGACCTGTCGCCTCCCAGTGAGCAAGAATTCCCTAGCAGTTTATGTATAATACAGGCTTTGATTTGTAGCTGATGAAGTGTATGCTAAAATGGTTGCAGGACTTTTTACATGCAAGTTTTTTTTTTGGTTTTTTTTTACTTCTTGCTTATGGAAGGGCAAAATCTCACTTACTCCTAAGTGGGGAAGGGGGGGGGGGCTTACAAGTAGAGATACAGATGTATCGTCGTCTGCTTCATCTGGAAATTTAAAAAAAATATGTGATTATGTTGACTTTCTCCATTCCCAAACTCTGAGCAAAATGACCATCAATGGTACAGTGATGTATTGATTTTGTTTGAAGATGGTTAAATAGCAGTTACATATGATGACACATTTCTTGACATCCACCTTGGCAACCATACAGAATGCAGCAATGCGGGTCATTCTACCACAACATCCAGCTTAAGAATGGAGGTGGTCACTGCGGCTTTCCGCTGGCTAGAGAACACGACACACGACACACACACACTGTGATTGTAACTGACTCAGAAAGCATGCTGAGGAAGATCAGGACAGGCATGCTTTGGGCAGAGTGGCATGCCACACTGCGGAAGACACGGGTGAGGTGAAGAGTATTGTATGCCGGTGTAAACAGGCGGACAGACTGGCTGCTCTGCACAGCTTGGTGGAATACTGATGCATGATAAGGCAGACGTGGTTAGTGTCTTGTGGGAGAGCTTGTACAGTTCGGAGGAGCAGATTGATCACCACAGTGTGATGAGATTGATGCAGTTGGGGGTGACGAGAGGTTCTGGCAGATGCTCGAGGCTCAGAGGAGAGGCAAGACGGACGTTTAATATTAATGCTACTGGCACCATTAGTATTGGAACTCTTCGCTGGCTGCTGAAGATGGGGATGGAGCGCTTATGGGAATGCCCCGAGTGCTGTGATGTCAGTTCTTGAATCAGATCAAATCAAACTTTTACATTTTATGTTCAGAAGCAAAATAAAATAAAAAATGCTAACCTTCACAATTTGTGGTTACTAAACTAGCAATGCAGGCAGAAAGTCTCCAGTCTCCGCTGTCTCACACTGTCCTGAAAACTGGTTAAATACAGGAAGTACAGTTTTAACTGTAAATAATAAATTGCCTAATCTGTACTCATGTTCACAGATGAGTCAATACTGCTGGATCTGAAGCACTTGCTGAAGGAAGCCAACCAGAGAGTTCCTGCCTTCCTGGCCACACTGGAGAGTGAAGCTGAGAAATACTTGGATATTGCAGGTACAGTTTTACTTGATGATTTTTGCATTATGGGCTTATTGTGAGATTTTCTGATTCCTCGCTAGTGCTGCCCCCCTGCAGATTTTCTTGATGTCTTGTTTGGCAGGTTTCTGCACAACTCATTTGTGCTTTCGGGGCACATTTTGTGTTGTTCATGGATTGTCAAAAAGCAGTCCCTCGTAGTTTTTAATAAGTATGTATTTTGTAAGTTAAATGCTTTTCTGCCCTGTAGCATTATTAACCTGTTTCAATAGCAGGTGGCACCACTGTCATGTTTTTAAAGTGGCTTATAGAGAGGTTCATTTAAAACAGCTTAATGTCATAGAAGTCGAAATCTGTGGCTTGGGTGTTGTGTGCGCGCTTCGTAATCTGGCGTGCCACAGTCGGTCCCAGCTGTGGATGGTTTGTCTTGTGTTGGTTTTGACGGTGATACTGCAAGCTGACCGTTCCGAAGCAGTGGCAAACTACTGAACTTTATATGGAAGATTACAGCCAGTAATGCGAAGAAGAAGAACGTGCCATGGTGAATCTTTTTAGAATGGACCTAGAGCTCCCAGGTTGACCCTTCCTAAATTTGTCCTAGGAAATATCCTGGGAAGAGAAGAAGGCCAGCGTGATGTTGACCACATCATAGAGTATCTACTGGTCTTTAAAAATATGGGTCCAGCCCCTTATGGAACCAGTGGCGTAGAAAAGAGTCCTTTATTTACAGAGTTAAAGCAGCAACAAAATGACTGGTCCGGGTTCAGCACTGTCTTGTGTATCTACTGCCAATATTTACCACTTGGTGGTGTGGGAAATGAGCTTGAGGATCTTGAATTCGTGATCATGATGGATCTGGATAAGGTTTAAAAGGAACACAATTTTTTTGGGGTCAGTTTCAGCCAGCTCCTAAAATGAGTGGCGGCTTCATCCTGACTTTGTTCATTTTATTGATATTTAGATCTCTTTTTTTGCTGCGTATGGTAACGCTTGCTGTTTGGTTTCTGTCGCATTGGGTGGAATCTTTGACCATATTTAGTTTCTGTCGCTTTGGGTGGAATCTTTGACCATATTTAGTTTCTGTCGCATTGGGTGGAATCTTTGACCATATTTAGTTTCTGTCGCATTGGGTGGAATCTTTGACCATATTTAGTTTCTGTCGCATTGGGTGGAATCTTTGACTGCCCTAATAAGGGCAGTCAGTTTTGCCTGGGACGGCACTGGAATAGTTATGGGCGGGAGTGAATCTGGTGGTTGATTATGTTGTCCTGAGCCTGAGGGTTTAAGGCTGCTTGGCCAGTCGCCATTAACTGTACAGGTAGAGATGTTTAGCTATAGTCTCAAGATTATTGTTACCTCACTGGTTTGGCTTCATTAGATATTGTTGGCGCCTTTCCATCATTCTAGATAACAATGATATATTGTGCTATAGGGAGACATGAGAATCACTGTCCATGGCGATGGCGAGTGTGACTGTGCCATCACATGAATTATTTTATTTTACTTCTGAACATAAAATGTAAAAGTTTGATTTGATCTGATTCAAGAACTGACATCACAGCACTCGGGGGATTCCCATAAACGCTCCGTCCCCATCTTCAGCAGCCAGCGAAGAGTTCAACAATTTTGCAAACATTTGTTTTCCTTCATTCCCATTCCCTTCCTGATTTCCATGCACATCTTCTTCTTGTGCCTTTCTAAATCCTAGTGGAGTATAGGCCCTCAGCAACTCATGCCAAGTCGTTCTATTCTTCACTATCACATGCAGATCTCCCTATGCCCCCCCCCTGTCTTTTTAAACTTCAGTTTGTAGCTCCCTTCTCTGTGTGTTTTATGATCTGCTTTAGTGATTCTATCATACCACTTAATTCCCTGTATTCTGCGCAGACACGAGTTAATGAATGTTTGTAGTTTATTAGTAGTTGCCTTAGTTGTTCTCCATGTTTCAGCTCCTTACAACATTACTGATTTGACATTAGAATTAACAATTGTGAGTTTAGTATAAGTTTTATATATAAAGTCAGTCGCGTTTCCTTCACAGGACTTTGCAGAACCAAACTGGGCATTTCTTTTTGCTGTTGTGGTTTTTTTAGGGCAAATTTTACATTCAGTAGTATGCTATTGCTTACTGATTGGTCAGATCTCTGTACCACTATCAAAACTGTTGTAAGGCGGTCTGCTGCTAAATTGTCTGCAGCTGGGATTGAACCCGGCACTAAGAAGCCTGTTTGCAACACCTAAGCCACAGACATTTTTTATATATATATATATATATATATATATATATATATATATATATATATATATATATATATATATATATATATATATATATATATATATATATATATATATATATATATATATATATTAGGGCTGTACCGAATATTCGCTTCGGGACCGAATAGTGGACCTGTTGACTATTCGGTATTCGGCCGAATAGTTGCGGTCGGACCGAATAGGAATAGTAGTTACCTTACACCCGCTTCAGCATACACGGCCTTAATACTGACAACATAGAACGATTGGTTTTGTTGAAAGCTAATGCAGCTTTCCTGCATTAACTAAGCTGTCAGTGACAATTTCCAAGTTTAGTTACTTGTTATAATACTTAGGATTCTGTCATTCCTAGTTATTAGTTTCCACAGACTGACTGAAGGATGCAAAACATAAAATGGACATGGAAAGAATATAAACTCCGGCCACATCCAAGCCGATAATATTAAAATCAAACGAACGGAAATAAAAGTACTTGTGTGCAAACTTCAACTGCTCCAACATGCTGAGAGAAGAAATACAATCTAGAATACAATCTAGAAATAAAGTATACTATGCCCTTCAACATCTGCTAAAGTCAAAGTGTCTGTCTCGCAACACCAAGATCAAAATATATAAAATGTTGATAAGACCAGTCGTTTTGTATAGCTCTGAAACTTGAAGAAGAAATAAAAGAGATGAGGCCTTATTTATTACAGGTTTTCAAAAACAGTTTTACAACAAATCTTTGGACCCATCAAAGATGCTAACAGCGGGGAATGGAGAGTCAGAAGCAACAACGTAATCTGTTTAAATCACCTTTGATCACTGGCATCATGAGAGCTAACATACTAAAATGGTTGGGGCATTTTGAAAGAATGTCAGATGACAGAGAAGTAGAACTGAATACACCTGAGAGATGAATGGGCGTAGACCACGAGACAGACAAAAAAGAAGTTCGAGAGATAATGTCCAGTCAGACCTGCACACAACTGGTGTCACAAATTGTGAAGAGAAGGCTAGCCAGAGAGATATATGGAGACGAGTGATATCTGCAGCAGTAAACCTAAAGGGATCAGAATGCTAAAGAAGAACATGATACATGCTGCAGGAGATCACATATTGTGGCAGGGCATAATCGTCAACGCCAATCGGCAAGGCGCCTGATGATGATGATACAGTATTCGTATTCGGCCGAATAGTTGGTTGCACTATTCGTATTCGGCCGAATATTGAAATTCATAATGTACAGCCCTTATATATATATGTCTGTGTGCATGCGCACATGAAACAGAAACAATATTTGTAAAAACAAAATTTTAAAAAGTAATTAGTGGCTGGCAATGTTTACTGCAAACTGTCATGAAACATTTTTGAAACAGTTAGAGCATTTAATATAATTACATGCATTGTCTTTTCAGGTGATGTGGGTTGCTCATATTGTGGTGGCTTGGGTCACAGGATTGCCGACTGCCCCAAACTACTGGCCATGAGGTCGAAGCAAGCCCAAGGTATTGGACGCAAAGATTACCTGGCTCACAACAGTGCTGACTGGTAACCTGGTGGTAGGAGATGCAGCAGTGAGGTGTGGAATATTTCTTCAACATTCACAAGTTATACTTTATCACCATGCGCAGGGGACAAGCGGATATGAGATGACATTTTCATTTAAAAGTATTGTCAATTTGTGACTCTGTCGCTTAAAGCAGCGGTTCTCAACCTGTGGGTTACTAGCCATTTGGGGTCAAATGACCTTTTCACAGGGGTCGCCTAAGATTATCCCCAAAAAAACACATTTTCACTCAAATTATAACACATTTTCACTGAAATTATGAAGTAGCAACAAAAATAATTTCATGGTTGGGGGTCACCACAACATGAGGAAATGTATAAAAGGGTCACGACATTAGGAAGGCTGAGAACCACTGGCTTAGAAGTGAGCAAATGCATTTACATTTTTATTTGTCTTAAATACTAGGGTTCGATTTTCGCAGTTGAACAGTTGTCTTTAAAAAAAAAAATTTCATCATAGTTGTCAGACCGTAGTACGAGAGTTGCATTGTGGGAGAGATTGAGGCCCTGCCGCATGATTCCTCATGTTATGTCCAGATATATTTTATATTGTTCTTCTTCCGCATGTGTGCAGAAACAAAAATGGCTTACAGGAAAGCTGCAATAGTTTTTACACCTTTATGGGAACGTAAAACAAAAATTGTGTAGTTTTGTTTGCTCATTCACTTCTAGAATTTAGTCTTGTTGTGAAACTTGAGTTTTGCATGCACATCCATGTTACAGATCCTGCTTATGTGTATGCAGACTGTTAGTTCCTTGCCTGTCAGGCAGCGGTACTCCAACTTGAAGGAAACATTTCTAGTTACCTGACTTTTATGATATGCTTGTTAGTGGACAGTGGATCCACCCCCTTTTCCCCAAATGGAACCTCAGAGCCCACACGTGCAGGCAGTGTTATGAGAGTCATACTGTGGAAGTAACTAGGGCCTTACCATGTAAATATTCCCAGACAGCGGTGGATGCACATACCCACTTCAGCCACCCTCTACTATAGAGAAGGCAGACATTGGTTTTTTTTTATGTAAACAAATCAGACTTAAAAGACGATTTTGGGGACTGGGTTGACTTTCCTTTATCGTCATCTCTTTATGAGACCAGTGAGCCAGACTGCTTCCAAGACTATCCCATGGGTGCAGGGTTGGGCACTTATCTGTTCTGGTTCACTGGCTTAACGAAAGCAGTCATCCCTTGAGTTGTAAACTGCTTTTTTCGCTTTTTTTTTTTTTAATTGTATAATTACATGCTTTTTTTTTTCAACTATAAAGATTTGTTTGTCAGGGCATGGTGCTTCATTTTATCTAATCTATTTAGGTACTACATTCTAGTTATAAAAATGTACTATTAATTTTATTTTATTTTAAATTAAACAAAACTATTATTTTATTTTTACTACTGGTACCATTGGAACTGGAACTCTGCTCTGGCTGCTGAAGAGGGGGACAGGGCTCTTATGGTGATGTCAAGAGTGCTGTGATGTTTTCTCTTAACTCATTCTGATTTATTTTTGAGCAAAGAATGAGCCACTGAGTGGCCAAGGTTACTCACCTAAATCTGTCAATACAGATTCTCAGCCCATGAATGTGCAGCAGCAGATTTTGTTGTTGTTTTAAAGGCTACATGCTTCTCACCTGGTCATCAAATATTGCTGCTCTTCAGGTGGCAGCCGCTGGTAACACCACTAAATTGTTTTTTAAATTTATGTTCAATATTTTATGTGTGTGTGTGTACGTGAATGAAATACATTGAATTTTATACTTGGTTTAAATACATTAAAAAGTTTGTTTTAATTTTCCACAAGTGTTTCTTCAATTGTTGTTAGCTTGTTCTCAGGTAAACCAAAAAAAAAACGAAGGACCCTTTTCCACGCCTTTAGGCGTATAGGGCTAGACCTATATTTTATAGACTAGTTGGCGCAAGATGGGTGATGCAGTCAGCATCAGGCCTGCTGCCTTTACTTCCCAGGACTGCACCCAGTACCCTCAAGGCTAGGTTAACCTGGAAGCCAAAGTCATTTTTTTAAAAGTCCTGCTCTGCCAGAGAGCAAGCACACGGCCTTCCCATCCGTAGGCAAGCATCTAGCTTTTGAGGAGGAGATCGGAGCAACTATGGATCTGTCCGGAGTGCTATGCTGATAATTCTTTCTAATCACTTATCACTATTATTAAATAAGGCATGAAGATACTTAAAAGTTCAATTGTTTTTCCTCGCCGCTGTCAAAGAGTTTTTTCCTTGTTTACATCGGACGAACGGCAGAGCGAGCGATGATTTAAATGCGAATTTGGCGCATGGATAACATCAGATGAAAGATGCATTACTGAAATAAGAAACAGAATAGGACAGGCAAAAACTGCATTTTATAAAATGAAGATGTTTGTCATTGAATGTTAGAAAAAGAATTCTTGCTTGCTATATACATCCAGTTTTAACATATGGCTGCGAGTCCTGGACAATCGGTAGGCAGGCCAAACAATTTCTGGAGGCCTCAGAGATATGATTTTACAGAAAACAATGCTTAAAAGACCTTGGACAGCCAAAAAAAAAAAGCAACCAAGAGGATTTGAAAGAGGTGGGAGCCTGAAGACAACTAATCACAGACATCAGATGGAGATAGTCATCATTTTTCAGCCATCTTATGAGAAAAAGGAAAATTGAACATGTGGTGACCACCGGAAAGATATGTGGAAGTTGGGATAGAGGAAGACAACGAGAGAAAATTCTTTAATCTTGCTGCATGGCATGGAGGTGTGTCAGCACACGAACTAATACATGCTGCAGGAGATCGCAGATTGTGGCGAGGCATAATCGCCCACGCCAGTCAGCAGGGCATCTGATGATGATGATACAATATTTATATTCGTATTTGGCCGAATAGTGAAAATCACTATTTGGTATAGCCCTAGAAAAAAATACAACCATTTCATCTTCTTCTTAGTCTATTGTGTGCAGCGTTGGTAGTCACGTCTATCAACGACCCCCTGTCTCTTGAACTTACAGGCAAATCTGACAGATAACCTTACATGCCATGATGTCAGCTTGTTCAGCATATTCTCCCCCTGCCTCTTTTCCCCTCCAGCTTTCCTACTGTCACAATGTACTCCTGTTTTTATCTTCTCATTGCATGACACAAAGAATGCATTTTGTCTCCTTCTGATGTCGGCAGTCAGTAGTCTCCTTCTGATGTCAGCAGTTAGTATAGTCTGCTTCTTTTTTTTTTTTTTTTTTTTTTTTCATCGAACACCGGCTGTGAATTCCAGTGGAAGGTCAGGTAATCGTCCGCTTGGACTTTTGGCTTTCACCTGGACCTGATTTTTGCGTGTACAACCGTTTTTAATTTCCCTGCCTCATGGGCAGCTGTACGCCGACTTCGAAGGAAGACGTCAGGCCTATTTCTAGGGTGACTGTGGCCATTGTTTTGTGTGGGTCGAGACGTTGCCTGATTTGTGTGGTGTCCACTTCGTCTCCTTCGCCGCAGGTATTGCCCCCGGAGTACCCCTTTGGATCGGCCCCCTGTGGAACAGTTAGCCCTCAAGGGAAGGCAGGGGCAGATCTTGGGCATTCCCCGCCATCCAAGGAGGCATCCATGTATGCAGAGCCGACACATGGCGCTCTGGTTCTGGGCTCACCCAAGGAATCGTCACGTCCTGCACAAGCCTGCTTAACCTCACAACCGTATCAAGCCTCCCGCTCGATAGTCTGCTTCTGATGTGGACTGTAAATATAATCTGCTTCTGATGTGGACAATCAATATAATCTTCTTCTCGTGTGGACAATCAATATAATCTTCATCTGATGTGGACAATCAATATAATCTGCTTCTGATGTCAGCAGTTAGTATAGTCTGCTTCTGATGTGGACAGTCAATATAATCTGCTTCTGATGTGGACAATCAATATAATCTTTTTGTGTGGACAATCAATATAATCTTCATCTGATGTGGACAATCAATATAATCTGCTTCTGTTGTGGACACTCAATATAGTCTGCTTCAGATGTGGACAATCAATATAATCTCCTTCTGATGTGGACAATCAATATAACCTGCTTCTGATGTGGACAATCAATATAATCTGCTTCTAATGTGGACAATCAATATAATCTTCATCTGATGTGGACAATCAATATAATCTGCTTCTGATGTGGACAATCAATATAGTCTTCTTCTGATATGGGCTATCAATATAATCTCCTGATGTGAACAATCAATATAGTTTCCTGATGTGGACAATCAATATAGTCTCCTGATGTGGACAGTCAATATAGTCTCCTAATGTGGACAGTCAATATAGTCTCCTAATGTGGGCAATCAATATAGTCTTCTTATAATGTGGGCAATCAATATAGTCTTCTTCTGATATGGGCTATCAATATATTCTCCTGATGTGAACAATCAATATAGTTTCCTGATGTGGACAATCAATATAGTCTCCTGATGTGGACAGTCAATATAGTCTCCTAATGTGGGCAATCAATATAGTCTTCTTATAATGTGGGCGATCAATATAGTCTGCTTCTGATGTGGACAATCAATATTATATCCTTCTGATATGGACAATCAATATTATATCCTTCTGATATGGACAATCAATATTATATCCTTCTGATATGGACTATCAATATTATATCCTTCTGATATGGACAATCAATATTATTTCCTTCTGATATGGACAATCAATATTATTTCCTTCTGATATGGACAATCAATATTATATCCTTCTGATATGGACAATCAATATTATATCCTTCTGATATGGACAATCAATATTATTTCCTTCTGATATGGACAATCAATATTATTTCCTTCTGATATGGACAATCACTATAGTCTACTTCTGATGTGGGTGAAAGACAACAAAAACAGTGCTAAACAGACCAAGAACAAGAAAAATTCAAGTGTTCATCAAATCATCACTTGTTTCTCAGGCCACATGTCTTTGGATACACTTTAATGTTAAGCATGTCGTAACAGAACGATAAGGGGGTCAGCTA